GACTAAATTAAAGTCGTTGACCTTGAGTGTGAGGCCGTGTTAGCTTGTGTGAACAGGCTTGCTAAGAGTGTAAATACAGTGGTTCAATATATACTCTCTGTGGACAATAAACTACAATGTGAATACTCACAGCATGTAACTTATATGACAGGTTAAAGAGGTAAACTTATACTTGTGACTCAATGCAACTTTTCTCCAACATTACTTCCAGTGTAGTTAAATTTGATGATTTTATCCAGTGTAATGTTTATTGATATTCTTCCCCCCCTCCTAATAATTTATACCCTTCTTATTACGTAATTGTATTAATGTTTCGTGTTGATCATTTTAAGTACATTAATCCATGTTTGACCTACTATTTCGAATGGTGATGAGGTATTGATAAAAACTTTTGTTATAGCATTTTATGATTCTTGCAACTATCGGTGGTACACCTGTATTCCTACAATCAACTCATACTTTGACCTAATATGTTTATTGACGTAATGTGTTCCATTGTGATTACTAACTCAAATTGTCTTGATTGGTTTCACAGTTTTCATATAAATGTTCATCTATATTCGAATAAAGCTTGATGACCATCTAACTGAAAACACTATCACAACTATGTGACTGGTAATTCTCAGTTTACATACACATTCGACTTTCAGAAGCATTTTCTTCGCCAAGTAGCAACTAATAGTAACATAGACTTAAACATTCACACACATGTATTCAACAAAGAATTCTTAATAATTTCATACTGCAGATGACTGGTCATTTTTCGGTCGAACTGATTAAGTGTAAGTACAGTCCAAACGGTTTTTAATAGTAAATAAATATTTGTTCGTACGATGTGATCAGTTGACTATCAGAATAATGAAAATAATTTCTATTTACTGAAAGATCTATCAGTAACAAAATATTGTCATGTCGACATTGATTCATAGATGGAATAGTCTTATATATCTCCATAAGTTTGTATGATTTATGAATTGTCAATATGTTTCAGTGAACGTCAAAGTTTTCTAGATACAATTCGCAAGTGATCGATTCGCACATTCGATGAATTGTGTGTGGCAGACGCATGGTTGACGGTGAATTACCTTGGTTTTTTTGTAAAGCTGCTTTTTAAGTCATTTCGTATCTTATACTCTCCATTATTTCTCTTTTTACATTTTAATAGTACGTTGACAGATATCTAACCTTATATTACTCGTTTCGTATGTTATATGGTATGACTATAATAATTTATCAGTGTAGGAATATCATACTAATAATGTGACTGCTCATAAACACTTATCATTCAACATTGGTATAACAAATGGCAGAAAATTTTTAAACAGATGATTTCCAAATCATTGAAATTTAAAGAAATTCCACATTCAATTAAACCTAAATGATTCCTACATAGAAATGATTTACAATCAAATAAACAGTTATTTTAGTGGAAAAAAGTGTTCTCATCTTCAAATTGAGCACATATTATTGATGATGGGTAAACCAGACTAAATTTAGTAAAAAGAACAAATAGAGAGAAGAAATTTCTTTTCATTTATTTTGTTCATCAAGGCTCTACATTAATATGTATGATTTGTACGAATGAATTTAATACTCAGCGAACAGTTACGTAACGTAATAATGATATAATGTCACAATGATTAATAAATAATATTACATAGTTGGGAGAAAAATGCTTATGGTAATCAAACTAATAATTCGAAGAATGAGGTTAATGAAAGTTCAGATAAGATTGGCTGTTATGAAGATGGCAAAGGCGTAGAGAGAGAGGGAGAGAGAGAGTGAGAGAGGTTGTACAAACTGCTTTTGAATACAAAGGTTCGGTTTGTGAACATGAATTCCGATAGCTTCAGTCATATTCAAACTGTGTGGCAAATTTGATGATGGATGACGTTGGATGATCTTAAAAGCTTCATTCTGGTCAAATCATTATCGTGTGTCCACCGTCTTTGTGACATTATATCATGATTACGTTACATAACTAACTATTCGATGAGTATTAAATCATTGTTACAAATCATAATACATCTTAGTGTAGAGCTTTGATGAAATTTTTTTCTTGGTTCTATTTTATTCTTGTTACTAAATTGTAAAATGAAAATTTTTACTATATTGCAATCTCAAAATGTTTAATATGTTCGGCTAATCCCATCCATCATATATTGCGTAGTAGTTTGTTATGAATAGTTTTATACTCAATTGCTTTAAATGTCAAGCTGTCCAGTTTATTTAGTTATGTAGATGGACATAAACTCTTCGATAAGAATGAATGTGATACTCTTGCCATTAACAATTTTACTGTAAAACCTGTCAGATGTTATTTATTTCGGTATAGGCTTTTATTTTTCTTGGTCTATCACGCCTTATTAATATGAAAACTTCGTGGTTTTAGTGTTTTATCCAACTTTTATTTTTTATTGTTGATAAATTATTGGCAGTCTACATGTTCACTCTTGACATATTGTTACTCTTTATTATTATTGAAACTTGAATAAAAAAATCATGATTTATGTTGATTGATTCGACCTTGTGACTTAATAGTTGCGTAAATAGTGCAACATTTGGAATATGTTATGAATGTTTATTTCATAATCATGAAAATAACTAACAAGTGAAAATGAATACATTTGAAGTAACATTTAACTTATCTATTTTCAGGATGAAAGATATGAGTATACTAGAAGAGAGATGTAAAGAGAGATGTAAAAAAACCTTACAATATCCTTGGTTGAAAAAGCTTTTTAAGCTTTCATTCGGTAGATAGATTTATGTTACATAGTGAAAATGTTTGATTGGACAAAACATACACTTTTCAATAAGGTTATGATTACTCAACGAAAAATTTAGGCGAAACCATAATCAAATAACTCTTTTCAATCAATTAACTATTATCAATGGGATGTACCTAAAAATGACCAGAAATGCATATTATACATGAGATTTGGGTTTTACACAGCGAAAGATACTATGATTACTTATCTATACATAGCATTGGAATTTTTTTTAAATTAGTGTTTACAACAGCCATTATGTTACATGTTAAAATCGGTCGAGCCTCTATTGATGTTAGAAGATGTTGGAATTAATTTCAAGGAAGTTCATGAGTAAGTATTGTTTAAAGAGGCTTGAACTATTTATATCATAATACTTTCTGGCTATTAGTGATTTTTCAAATGAAATATCGTTTTCAAATATCTTGGTAAGAAATATTCAAATTAATGAATAATTAATACTTCTTGTTGAATGATAACCGAAATATCATGACTTAGTACTCAGTGTATTTCGTACTGCTCCATAATCTTTACATATGAAACTGATGTTGTGGACTCAAATGCTAAGTGGATAAAGAGTCGACGTTTACAGCGAAATATTTTGGGTTCGAAGTCCACTGTGAGCATCAACACTTAGATGCAGGGATATCCAGTTGATTAGTCTAAAGTAGGACAAAATACTGTTAGTTATTTCCACAACTAATTGTAGTTATGTCATAACTAACCAATCAAATTGTGATTTAAGCACCCACCACGTGATCTGATCTGACGTGTCTGTAAACTTTCTTTGTTGTGAATGACCTACAAATTGATTGACATTATTATCTCATTATATTGATGTGACTCATAACTTTATTCATTTCCATAAGACACGCTATATTGGTCGGTACGTTTGCTCGTCTTACTTGATAATTGTAATTTCCTTATTTATTGTACTGATTTGATTGTTTTTATGTTTAGAAACAGATAAAGTTTAAAGCAAAAGTTGGTCTTGTTCTGACTATAGCTTTCTCATAGACTCTGTGCTCGCCAATACTGCGTTTACAGTTCTAGAAGTTCATCTGTAGGACAAATTAAATCCTACAAATACTCAACTTGGATTTCGTTACCAACCACAACTCATCTTTATGATATTGTATTCATTGTGGTGTTGTTTTCGTTTAACTAATTCTGTAACTTTTCAACACTAATATCAACTTTAACAACCCATTATCTCCATTTCAATATCTCAGTCAATGAAGTCCAATATAAACGAAAAGTAATGTGAATTTAAACAAAACGCTGACCCCAGGAAATCAGAAAATGAAAACAATATTCCACTCAATTTTTTATTCTATTTTAATATTTGTAAAGTTCGTTGATTTTAGCTTTTGAAAAAAAAGAACAGATTTGATTATTTAGCTGATGTTGTCGACAAGGTGTAACATATTTTTGCATGTATATGTATTTATATACTACAATTTCAATGGCTTCATTTTCCGCGATTAATTAAGATAGTTGACAGTAACTGGTGATAATAATATTAATAATAATAAGATTAGAAATAAAATGAATGATATTCCTTAATGATAACAATAATAATTAAACCAAGTAATCATAATAAAGTTATAATTATTATTAACTAGTTAGTCAGTGTATATGTTAACGGAAACGAATGATTAACATTATATTTTCAGTGAATGATACATTTTCATCAAAATACAAACAGCAGTACAATTAGAAAGAGAAGAAGCAGCAAAATTAACTAGGGCGGTGTGACAGTGGATTTGAGGAGCATCTCCTTTGTCAAGTATTCGTAATCAAAAGGATATCAATGCACAGATATCAGTGATTGGTGTGTTTGTCGAAAAAAAACAGAGAAGATAAAGTGTGTACGTGTGTGTGTGTGACAGTAGGTATAAACTAGTGGATGTTTGTGAATTTTTAAAAAAAAGATACATAAAATTGGAAGCTCTGGCGGCAGATTATCAGGGATTGAATCGAGTGACAAGTTCAATATTTTACTTATCACTGACACATGTATCAGTAGATAAAAAAAACTGTGATTGAATGATTGACACATTGACTAACTAAGTGAAGTACCGGATTGTTTTGTAGTTAATATATAAGTTGGCGAATTCACGCAAATCCAAATGTGAAATAAATATAATTAAGCACAACCGTTGTCTAAAGTTCTGTCTGTTTCTCTCGGTGTTTATTTCTCCTCTGATTTGATAATTGTTTCTGCAACTATTGTCCTAATTCAGGTTTTCGTTGCGAAATGTCTGGAATTAAAAAAAAGTGACTAATTATCAATATTATATTTGCATTGCGGGGGTTGTGAAGACTGTTAAGTTACACATTTCTGAAACCATGAATCGATCAATGTTAGAACACCATTAGAAACCTGGAAGCACTGGACGGCCGTTTCGTCCTGGTATGGGACTCCTCAGCAGTGCGCATCCACGACTCCTGAGCCCGCAGGAGTCGAACTCAAATTACCTGTGCTCACTAGTGACTAGCTTCGTGAGGAATCTTCTCCGAGTTCTAATGGGAAGACGTGAAAAGTGAAGCTCAACCTGTTCGGGTGTAGACAGTAACTACCGAAGACTATGTATGAGGTTGCGCAACTCTGTGAATTGATCAAGTTAGACATTAACACCGTTAGATACTGGCTCCGTGGTCCAATGTTTAGGAGTTCGCGCACAATACCGAAGGTTCTGGGTTCGAATCCTGCAGGGTTCAGAAGTCGATCGATCCATGGTTTCAAAAATATTACATTTAGCAGTTATCTATACGCTGATAAAAAATTTTTGATGATGAAGCGTTCCAAATTTTTTAGCTGTAATATCATATGTGAAATTTACACTTTATGATAGATACTGATTAATGACTACTCAGCTTTATCACTGTCAAGATGGGGAGCAGTCATAAATGTTTGATATTTTTTTTCCTGGCTTTCCCTTCGACATGCACAGCGAGTAACCCCGAAGGAATACTGTTATCTATCTGTTTATTCCTCATTTCTGCATCTGCCTGTAAATAAAAATGCGAATGTTTATTCCTGTAAGTCTCCATATCTGTTGTTGAACCAGTTTGCTGATGAAAGGATTTCTCATAAACATTTTGCATCAACTAGTTTATCACAGATGATTACGAGATCATACACGTATCACTTGTAAAATTCAGTATTTTCAACGTTTTCAATAAAAGTTATCTAATGGTGGTCCTAAAACAACGACTTTATTGAATGGACATTCCATTTGGGGGAAAATTTCTTCGTGAAGCTTTTTAAATAATATTGATCAAATAAATATGTTACTGCTTATAAAGGGAAACAAGAAGATTGAAAAATTTGTAATTTTTGCTTCAGGGTTCAACAAGTAAGATTTTCTTTAGACCTTAGTGAACACATTCTACCAACACCGGGTTTCTTTACTAATGCAGTTATAAAACTTCATATTCAGAGAGCATCATGGATTATTGTATATAACTTGATTGTGATTTTACTGATTTCATTATCTTAGCGAAATTTCTTTCAGAAATTCTTAGTAGGCTGTTTCAATAGCAATAGAAATAGGCATTCGCACTTCGACTGTCCTTTGTTGATGGATAGTGGTCAAGCTGAGATGAACATTGTCGCTATTAACCTAACCAAATTTTAACGTTAAAGTTTATGACATTTGCATAGTAAGGTTACTTGTCAAAGGAGGCCAATCAGTGTAATCGAATGCATAGTGACTGCGTAATAAAAACGATTCTGAAATAAAAGATTCATCATTCTCTAGAAGTGAAAGGAATAAATAAACATTGTCCAGATGAGTTTTTCTTTCATTAGTTGATAAAAATAAACTTTATAAAACTACCATTTTCGGGCGTTAAACTTTCGGGATTGGTTGATTTATATTCCCGTTGTGAAGTAGTATAATCTAGTACAGTGATTTTATGGATAGTTTGCAATCATGCTGGATAAAACTCAAGGGATACATCATAGCAATCAGTTTGAGGATATTTAGCCATAACCAATTCTATGATATTAAACAGTAAATATATATACAGTATTGGTATTAAAACATTTCCGATAAAACCCCACTAGAATTCTCATTATTTCAAAAACAAAAAATTAAGAAACCATACCAGGAATCATATCGTCAGTTATACGACATGAAAGTGAATGTTTAGGGTTCTCTGGAGATCTCTCTGAATGTGATCTTTGCGTAAGTTGTCTGTTAGTATTATATTGTTGATTTGATTCCATTGGGGTTCCAATTAATTGGCCAACACTTCCTGAACAATTTTTATAATCATTTTTATTCATACCACCAGATGAAGAACGCTTAATAGATTAACGTAAAATGAAAACATGATGGAAAAAAAATGTGAATTTAGCATTTATCAGACGTAATTTGAAAAGTTCCATATTATTTAAGTGTGTTTATATAATAACAAAGATAAGTTATGTCTCACACGAATTCGTCCTACTTGTAACTCGTCTTTTGAATGTATTTGAATCTCAATGTTGAGGTTCACATAGTGGTTCCAGATATCATGTGGTACATAAATACTCATAAGTATCTAAATGTTTCTTGGTATCGAATGTCAGTCAATAAACACTAATTGTTGAACAAACGAAGCAGACCTGAATTGTAACTAGCACTGAAACCCAGTTTTGACACAAGAATGTATCAGCGTCCCATAGTTGTTGTCCACTCCGACACTCGAACCTAGTACTGTTCGCTTCAAGAGCCATCGCGTTATTTGTTTGGAGATACTCAGTCTTAAACATCAGTTGGAACATTCAAACAGCCAATACTAGTGAATAAAACTGCACCCCATTTCAAAATCTAGTAGCTGTACGGACCCAGTGGTAAGGTGGATAGGACGAATGGTGTAAAGAGAACGGTACTGGGTTCAAATCCTGAAGTGAACACAAACTCTTGGATACAAATTCATCTAGCTGACGAGTCCTAAATAGGAAGAAGCATGCATCCTAGATTCCACTGCTAACCGCCATCTATTGCTGCTTATAATGCATGTAACTTGAAAGTAATATTGAGGTAATCCTCACAGTATACACATATACCAAGAGAGACTGACCGATCGCGGTCCTAAAAGTCAATAGGACGATTCAATCAATGCAAATGAATTAAAAACATGAGATGTTTAAAGGATGCAAGAGGTATATATTCAGTAAAGCTATTAAAAATTTATTGTTTTCTCTGGTGAACTTTTCAATGTCACCCATCGAAGCAAAAATCACATTTCTATGCTGAAATGATAACTGAGTAGTGACATTATGTACTGACCACATTTGGCAAAATATTCAAAGTAGAAAGTATTGCATATTGGATTACAATTTCGTATTGGAATGTGTTCTATTTAGAACAACTTGAAGTTAATTAATAAGAAGTTTGCATTAGAACGGAGCAATCTTCATTGGTATATAGATTCGTTCAACGAAATAAACTAAAAAAAAGTGCTTAAATGTATAGAAATAGTTCACACGTTTTGAATGATTCCTAAATGAATAGTTTTTTTCGAATAAATCTGTAACTGGTCATATATCTTAAAATTCGTACAAGATTAGAAAAAGTTGTCCCCTTTTTGATAAATACACGCAATGTAATAAGAAGGTGACACTTTTTGGGATTTCGTGACATATTAACACAACACACTGCAAAGAATTTATCTACATATTTACTTGTCAAATAAATGGTGTAGCAATAAAGGTCAAACTATAAAAGTTGGAACACAGGAAGCAAATAGGATTATAGCAAAAACCAATATGAATCACATCACTCTGGTTATTAAATCAACTTTTTCGAAGAAATGATGACAGTTTTAACTTATACACGGCTAAGACATCAGCAGAATAAACGCACAAACACATGTATATTGATGAACATAGTGGAATATGAAGCAATCGTTTACATGTTCAGATGTTCAGTAAAGCAGAAATGATATTTTTTGATTGTAATCGTAATAATATTGACTGCATTTCAGTTCAAGGTTATTTGGTTAATCACTAAAAAATAGGGCGCGATTTGAACAAAGCTATTTAGGTGATTGAAGCATAATACACCTGTATGCATTATCAGCTGTGTATCAATCCATGAGTTTTAATGGACCTCCATGTAGTAGATTCATCATACCTTAATTCAAATCATTTTCGTAGAAACTGTTAGTCGTGTTTAATAAACCGTTTGGCAGACTTCTTTTTACTGAACTGGATGATAACAATAAAATCTGAGGCATTACTTTAATCATATGGTCTTTTTACAGACAGATCGTTTGGTTGAGTATTTTGTTTTACTTATATTTGGAATAAGAAAACTGACTATTCTCCTTCTTTTCATATGAGCGGTACATGTGATTTCGAAGAGAGTTACTTTTCCTCAATGAATCACTCATATTTTTTATTCTATCGCTTATGACTCTTCTTTCATTCATTTATCACTTATAAAGCACACATTTCGGATTGAGTTTTTTGGCTACATTTTCACTGTGTAATATAAAAACGTTAGCTCTTTACACAACCCGTAAACGAGTTAATCAAAGTATTTGCAAGTAATATTCCAAGTGTACTACACTTTGTCTGTATATACATATAATAGTGGTAATAATGATACTGATAATCAATCTTTAGCAAATTTTAGGAGAATAAAGTAATGATGGACTATTTGAATAGAAATCAGGACATAGGATATTAACGTTCTTTATCAAAAAAATACACATATTTGTCAACAAAAAATTAGCATCGAAAGAATACATGACCTTTTCCCTCATTATTAATATCATGTAAATAAAAGTCTTCTAAGTTTAAATACATATACAATGTTTACAAATAAACTGGTTTTATACTGAAAACACGAAATGATTGATCAATGAACATAGTAAATGAACGTTCAGTTAACCAAACGAAAAACCATTAGTTCGACGCTAACTATCACCCTAAGTGTAAATGTACCAATACTAATTTTCATTTACAGGATTTCAAAGGTGATCACTTACTGTAGTTTGTAACGCTTCAGAAATTTTAACTTTAAAATAATAGATCTGGTCTAATTTTAAACTAATTTAGTGAAATGCTACTAATTTTTTTTTATCTAAAAGATTAGTGCGTATATCTTACTTGATGTATGCTAACATGGTTTTCACTACCAATTCCACCATGAATATATTCTCCTGAATAATTTGTATTATGTAATTGAATCGGACCAGGTACGGAATTTCCACTGACAAGATACTGTCGAAGACGTTGTAACTGTTGTTCAAGTTGTCGATTATGTTCTTCAAGCATTACCATTCTAGCCTCAAGGCGTCCTTTATGTTCCCATAATAATCGGGATTCTTGATGTGATTCATTGGCTACACCACCAACCAATATTGCTTCATTCATATGTCCTTGATATTTGAATGGTACCGCTGGCAAATCTGTACTATATTGGTCGGCCATATATCCAAGTTCGTGAGAAGAACTATTCCCACGTCCGAGTAAATTTTGTGTTGATAAAGGTGCAATGCTATAAAATACGAAACGAAGTTTAAAGATCTACATTTTATTCAGTGATACAGTAAGAGACAGTAGATTTCTATAAAAAGATCAAATGGGGAAAGTATAATTCCCATGATAGCTAGCAATATAAAATAAAGCTATTCTGCTAATTTCGCAGATGATATTGTATTTAAAATACTAAGTATGGTAACATGAAAATGTTTGTCTTAAGATTGAATTATTTGCCGAAATCAAAATGTTTCCGTTCAATAATACAAATGATTTTGGTAGTACTCTCTTCATTGAACTTAAATGGTTACTTGTGTAACTTTCTTACGTTCCCATGATGACTGAATAAAATATCATCATTTCATCAAATAATTAGTGTGTTAGAACGATATACATATATGTATATAAATGAGCATATAGTTAGTGTGAAACTGAAAGCCACTGTTCAGTAACAGTTCTTGCTAAGCAATGAGGGCAAAGTGTGACAGCTTATTCTCAACATTACTGTATAATTTTTGGCTGATATTCTAAGCTGTTAGGAAAAAATTCGATGTAACAATGTTATATAAAAATCATGAAGTACATAGAAATAGTTTATATGTTCGTAATTATGAATATTTATCATCCAGTCAACACACCCTAAGTAATCTAGGCTACCTTTTCATGATAAATCAATTGTTTTAGCATTCACACATTTACTTACCCTGAATGTAGCGGACCTGATGAAAAATGACTACTATTAATTGATAGTGTTCTACACGGCGAATTAGTTGGAGTTATAGTTCTTTGCATACTATTTACACGTCCTATTTCTGTGGACTGGACTGGTTGAGGATAAAATAAATGATTTGGATGAGGTATTCTTGCATTGACACGTTGTTGTGAATATTGTATTCTATTCATTGTACCATGCGATCCTGATATATTAGTAGGAGTTGCAGATTTTTGCCGTAAACGATCATATTCATACTGTAAAGCACGATGTTCATCTTCAAGCGATCGAACAGTCTATTGAGAAATATGCACAGTTTGAAAGTAAAATTTAAGAAACCTGAAATACTCATTGAATGATATTCATCTAATATTCAGTAGACAATAGACGGAAAAGCAGTAGAAAGAAAAATTGGTTCAAGTTACTCTTTCTGGAACCATTCCATTTTATAAACCTAATGAATCTTGTAATGACCAAATCAAATAGATGTCATCTTCAATGATGGACAACCACAACCTCAATAGTGATCGAATGGATGATGTACAGGCCTATTCAAGTGTCTTTAGCATTTAAATCTCAGAGCTGGAAACCGATAGTCTACAGTTCGAACTTTAGTCAATTCACTCTGATCAACTAGGAATAACAAATGTATTGTTTATAACGGATATTATATTTTACAAAATGTTAACACATTTAACAGTAATAGAGCTAAAAGATCTAATTTTTTGTATTTTAAAGTAGTCTGAGTAAGTTGTACTAAATTAACTAGTTAAAACTCAATAATGCAAATAGTTTATACATTTTTATTTCTTACTCAGAATTCGATTATTTGTGATGAGCGAGATAGCTATTGAATAATTGGAAATTATCAACCAACAATGACCGATTCGTGATTACAATGAAATTCAACAATCTTTACAACTCTATTGTGAAAATTATCATTTTATGATTATTGTTATTATTGTCATGAAAAGATATTGTGTCAAATGGTTTGACTTATGAGTTGGTGAGATAAAACAATAACCTATGACTTATCATAGACACATAGCTGAATTAAAAACTGATGATAGACTTGTCTTCTATGCAAATGACATCTAAATCACAACGCCCATCGTAATTCTAGTCTTTTGAAAGATTACAGTAATCATTTACATAAATACAATCAATGTGTATGTAATAATTTATATCAGTTTTTTAAATCAGGAAGTAGTCAACTGTTTTCCAATGCAACATAGTGCAACTTGCCTGTCAAGTTAGTGTTTGTGCATTCTTGGTTGAGCCGCAATGAAACTGAAATCTAACTTACGTCCAGTCATCGTGTATGTTAACTACTAAGGTACTTCACTGACAGTTTGATTGCATACAGTCGATCTTAACAAATACAACATTTGTTTGTAAGTATTGTGACTTATTAAAAGAGGAATATTAAATAATTATTCTTCGACAACCTATCTTTCAGAATATCAGTAAGGATTTGTAGCTCAGGCAGATGTCCTTGGTGTTACAGTGTTATTTTGACCAGATAACTTAGTCATAGAGATTAATAGTTAATGTCTAGAAAAGTAGGCAATGATGTGTTATCTCTAGCTTCAGTGACATTATCATAATTAAATCATTTAGCTCAAAGAACACAACACCGCCCAACTACCTCTTTTAATTTGCATACCATTGGTAAAGATGGGTCATCTTGTTGAAAAAATGCTTTTGATTGAAGACCTAATTTTTAAATTGTCAACTCAAAAGATTAATAGTAGTAAAGTAATCTAAGTACATTTCATATTTTCTATATGATTAAATATCATCGTACTTAACATAAATATGTATGAATACAATATAATTACAACATTACCTGTTGTATTTTTCCAGTGGGCTGTTGTTGTAATTGTTGAATTGGATGGTTTGTAAGATAGGCCGGAGAATGTGGAAGTATATTTGTGTTACCGATAGGTTTCCACAATGTTTCTTGAACCTCAGGTGGAGGTTGTGATCTAGCTCTGAGGGAAAATGTACGTTGAATATGACGTGCATAAATATCTGGATTAATATCTTGACGCATAGAACTCTGATAAGGTGTTTGAGCCAAATGACCAGTTGGTCCATATTGATTGTCAATGCGTGAAGTACCATTCAAAGCACGCGGTGTCCATCCAGAAAAAGATCCACGTAGTGCAGGATTTCCAAAATTTAATGGTGGAAAACCTATCCCCCTATCGATTTGGCGTCGGTCCAGACTAAGATGTCCACTGATGAAAGGTTGTGTATGTTCACCATCCATACCTGGAACATTTGATGAGATACCATCTGATATGGTAGATCTTTCCATGATCATAGGACCAGTGGAACAAGACATTGGTTGAAGTATTGATGTTTGTTGCATGTGAGGCTACAATTATAATGCAACTTAAATGAACATACATACTTTTGTTTATGGAATTATATTCTTTATGGTTCTGTTCCTAATCAAACTCTTAATAAACTGTGTTAGTTCACCTGATGAATTCGGTCTATAGTTAATTTTGTATAAATCTTTGTAAGCATTGCAAGATAATATTTTAAACGTAGAATGTTTAGAATTCTTACACTCAAAAGTTTATTACTGATAGTCATTAAAACAGAATGAGAAGATTGTTCTGGAAGTTTAGATACAACCATATTTTCACTGTTACTCACTATAAGCCAAATCAACTAACATATGGAAATAAATTTACTGCCTTAATGAACAGCAGTATGAATGAAGAAATCCAAGATATGAAAAAAAGAAATGTCGTAAATGTTTGATAATTCTTGATAGGATTATTTGGTTATTGACCTTTCTTAGTTGAATATCGTTCACATCATCAGAATGATGAACCAATAACTTCTCGTTATTATACCATATGACTTTGAAACAAAGTATGACCTATTCAGATTTGCCTTGGTTATGACTACACGCCAACTATGTAATACAATGTTAATTTCTGTAACTTTTACTGAATGGATTCAAGTTTTGGTGATCTAAGCTGATTCATAAATATTTTTGTTATCAAAACCTGAACAATTATCGCTAACTTGTTTAAATGAATCTGACAAATAGTTATTTTTATAAAAGTATCCTGTCATTTAAAATTATACTCAAATAACTAAGCTAATATTTGTCGTTTACGATTCCTTAAATTGGTCGACCGACGTACAAATATATGTCAGTTGTTTTTCCACAGTTAAGAATACTGACATGCCTATTGAAATATATCACCGAATGAGGTGAATATAAGTTTTATTGATTAATATCATTTCTGCTACATTTATGCTGTAGTGTAAATTATCAGTTAAGACAGTGATTTAGCAGTTTTGTTAAGTTGCTTTTACGAAAAGAATTTGATTTTCAAAAATAGGAATCTCACCAATTCAGGTTCACTATACTGTCGTAATTCTTGACTATAACGTGCAATCAATTTGTGTTCTTCATTATCTCCATGATATTGTTGAATATTTACACGTTCACCAGTTGGATTATAATTACAAGCAATGTCAGTTCTTAATCTTGAGCTTAACTGTAAAGGTTGGGGTGACGGAGTTGTTGTTGCTAATGGTGGTGTTGTAAATAAATTTGGATTAAGGTTTTTCTGTCTTGCCATTGAAGACTGAGTATCAGAAGATGCACGTGGTGGCATTGAATAATGACTTGAAGGCACAGCTACATTTGATAATGGTCTACAATTTGGAGAGGGATGTTGATTCTTATCACTGCCGTAGTTATTCGTTGTTTCGTTTACAAAATAATGCTGAGGTGATTGTGTATTCGATATCGAGTTTCGATATGAACATTTTTGATCGTTAATGAATGGAGTGTCTAAATTTTGATATTCAGCAAAATCGGAGAATGGATCTTGGCTGTAAGTTGGTGCTGGACGTGGTTTACTGTGGGAAGAAAAAATGTCATTGAAAATCGAGTTTTTTAACTGATTGTAATATGGAAAGACGTACAAACGTTTTCAAAACTTTATACTGTATAATTAAAAGCCATTATGGATGACTACAAAAAGTATAATCATGAAACTTTCTATAGTGAAATATTAAAGCACAAGGCTACAAATACTGTGCACCGATAAAAATAAACGATATGTACTTCCTACAGATTAAAATACTAAGATAAGAAATGGCTAGTCATCATACTGTTAAAATCAAAGTGAAGTGATATCCTAATGTACATGTGAGTGTAGAAGCTTGCACAGAATGTTATCTGATTTTTCTCAAACAACCAATCATTGAAATTGGTGATCAGAAAACCATCTTTTTCAGAACTCAATTAAAGCAATCTCTGGTGTTTTAGAGAATTTATTTCCGTTTGGTGGTTTATTTCTACTTACAAGAGCCGAAATACCGCTGAGGATTTTGTTTCAATCAACTAAAGATATCGACATAAGTCTTGCATCAACAAACCACTGAAACGCATCCCAACTTATTGTATAAAAAAGCTAATAAAGTGAAACCAAGGGTTAGAAACTAAATCCTTTTATGTACAGCATTCATCCACTTAATGTACCGTAAAATGTCCGAACTTAAAACTGCTCTCATGGTAGACTTAGAAAAAAAAGACTAGTTCACTAAATCTAATGCATGAGTCGACAGACTAAATTGACACATTAGTTTTAGATCAGTATCGATCAAGAGAGAAAACAGCTGTAGAAGAATATTCAATAACAATAAAAATGCCTAATAAACATAATTGAAAGCATTACCATATCGTGATTAAGAAGAACATTATTATTATTATTATTATTATTATTATTATTATTATTATTATTATTATTATTATTCAAATAATACTTACTCTTCATCGAAACTATTCAAGCTATTGCGTTTACATCTTGTACGACTTGTACTTGATCGTCGAACTTTTTGACCGCTTGTATTATTTAATTTGCGACGTTCACTTTCTTCATTCAATCGATCTCTAGATCGAAAACGATTTCTCACAATCCGCGTGAAATCTTTAAATGAATCTGTGGATGTTGACTAATGTGATAACACCGAACAGTTTTTTTTTCAACAGGTTGATATGGAATATTGTTGGGAGTAAAGAAAAGCACAAACAAACAGGAAATAAAATGCAAGTTACAATTTGTACGTAAAAAAATTATATGTTTAGTATGTAAGCAAGAAATCGTGATAAATCTTTTGAAATTTGTTGTATTTTAGTAATGATAGTAATCATCATTATAAAACAGAGATATTTTTCCTACGAAAATCAACATCGTTTCTTTTCACTGAGTGTTTCTATGCATAGTTATAGTGTATTCAATGGAGTGATTTTGATTTTCACTCACAGTAAGAGGAACGGGTGAAAACAATTGTTTTGTAAGCAACTAACTCTGATTGATTGATGATTTCAAACGTGTAAAAACACAAACCTCCAAAACTTTGCCTGAAAATATCGTAACAGTGCTCTCTAGGGACTAGCTTCGTGAGGAAATTCTCGGGGTTCTAGTTGAGAAGACGTGACCAATGGAGTTCAACCCTGTCGGGTGTAGGCAGTAACTACCAAAGACAAATGGGTGAGGTCACGCAAAATCCCTAGATCAATTAGAGTTAGAAATTAACACCGTTGGATGCCGGCCCAGAGGTCCGATGGTTAGGCGTTTGCGCACAATATCGAAGGTACTGGGTTCGAATCCTGCGAGGTGCAGGATGCGCACTGCTGATGAGTCCCATATCAGGACGAAACGGGCGTCCAGTTATCCCATGTTTCTAATGGTGGTCTAACAATGATTGATTGATGTTTCCAAATGTCTAAAAACACAAACCTCCAAAACTCTGCCTGAAAATAACTCTGAATCGTTTCATTTCTTTGATGGTTTGTGACACTAATGTTTTCTAAAATCATTCTTTTTTTGCATACTTGAGCATAAATTTAAAATGAATCATGTTTTTTCAGTTGTTAAAATGCGCCTGCCTTTCGTCTACATCATAAAATATGAGCAAGTATGGTTTGGGTGATTTGATAACCTTGTGAAGATTGTGCCTGTTTTCTGTTTTTATTTGTTTCATATTACTTTGTTGAACCGAACCAGTAATTTGTTAAGGCTATGCAATGCAAAATCGATCAGTGCTCCATGGTCGGTCAATGTACAAATTTGAGCCCTACAAGAGTTCAAATGCCTGATACAATTTCCGAATGAAGAATGAATAATATTTTGAGAAGAAAGTCGGTTTTCTAGAGTACTGTAGGTTTGTTTCAAGGACTAATGCTAACTAACTGTAAGGCTTTCGACTTGTAACTTAAAAACTGTAAAACAGGCAAGAAATAAATTTCACAATAGATGGAGTAAAATGTAGAAATACATAAGAAAGTAAGACTGACAGTTTATTCAGAGTGAATAAAATAACAAAGAGAAAAAAAATCAGCTTACATGACTACAGTATTCTTGCATTGGATGTGTTAGCTTGTGATTACGAGATGTTCTTCCAGCAAAAAAGCACTGCTGACACATGTCAAAATTTAGACAGCGCAGACAACGATATCTATAAGTTGCCGAAAAGAGGAAGAAAATATCCCAAAAAAATTCTTAATCATCCTGATGATTATTTTGCGTACTACTACGAGTTGTATTTGGAAAAAGAATACATACAATAGGATGATCGTGGTGCGTTCACTCCTGGATATCAAATGTTTATATATATGAAATGTTCATATTCAAGCAAGTATCTATAACTTAATTAATGTTGTATTGGGGGCCTCAAGTTAATTCTCATCGATTGGATAATATTTTATTCGGCTAACTGGTTTTGATTTTAATGGCCTTGATTAGTAAAAACGCGCATTTAAGATAAAAATGTAATTTATCTAGAGAATTTTATCATACAGTCTTCTGAATTATTTGCACAAAAGCTGCTTAATTATTTAGTTAGGCAAGTGTATAATATAGTCAGTTAAATATTCGAATGTCATCAGTGAAATCTTATTTCTAGTTGGAGCCACTTTGGTAACTTGACACGGTAATTGATTCAGAGTTTTTACTAGATGACCATTATTTTCTGGATTTTGTCGTGGAATTCTCAACTCTTACCATTGTAATGTGCATCTTTGTATTTGATTCTGCTTTTTACCGAAACAATATTACGGTGTCTTAACTAATTTTTTTGATTCAAAACCGGCAATGATTCATGAGATATCTTTCAGATTTTAAATATAATGGGTGTACTTGTATGTACTAGTACTTCAGTGTACATTCTATTCTTTGAAAACAGTGTTGAGGTTGAAACTAATGACGTCAGTTGCCATTCCTGGAAGAATTCATCAATGCTCAAAAAGTCGAATCTCATAGAACATATGAATTAATAGTTGGTGTTCATGATAAATATTAAAACCTTAAAGTCTACATTCGAAACTAGCAAAGAGTTATCCTTTCTCTTTCTAATTATTATTTATTATGCCAGTGAACAATCCGCTTATTCCATAATGCGAACAGATAATAACAAACACATTTCTTTTAATACAAGTACCAAGTACCAGCTTCGTTTACGTGAACATCAATTAGCAGTCAAACGCCACGACAACGCTTCGCTTATGTCAATACACACCGACAATTATGGACACACATTCGATTAGAACAATGTGGAAATAATGGGTAGAGGGAGAACAAAGAACACTAGGGAATTTTTAGAAGCTTGGCATTCAGGTCAATCAGCAATCAACGAACACATCGACATTGACCCAATTTATCAACCAATCAGGAAAATGATAGGTGACAAAGGATCAAGAAACAAATCAAAAGTGGGATTCAATCAAAACAAAGGTGCAGACAACTACAGGTTTAAGGTCAACAGCAACCAATCAAGATCGAGGTTAGCAGAACAATCTACAGGTCAAACATGGAGAAATTCGAATGCTTCACTTCTATCTGAAGTTTGTGCTGATGATGTTGTTCAGAAGAACAATGAAAGCTCCACAACCAAAACACCCAGCTCAGAGAACCAAACATCACCACCACAATCATCCACCTGAGCTACAAATCTTCTCCACCATCTCAAGTACCAAGTACATATGAATATGCATTATTTTTCTCAATTACATTAAAGACAAACTATTGAGAATTATATAGATATTCAGATTGAGTGTTACTAACATTTTATAAGTACTTTTAATTACTTTTCAAACATTTAGTTGCTTAAATTGTTGAAACTTGCGGTCGATTTTCGGAAGTGTTCTTCTTCAGTAAGAACTAGCTTTCACTTAACTATTGAAACTTGGTCAGTTATTTAATTCAAAATACATTAAAAAATGCTTTGTGATTTCAAACCAAAACAGAAGGTAAATTTGGAAATTATCGTTAATTCCGACAATTGAAACACATTTAGATCAACTCTCCTTTTATTTGTAATGTTTAATTATTAGTGTCATGTTATATTACTGGTGAAATAATTGACAATTATCTTACTAATAATAATTCAGGAGAACATTTATGTATTTAGTTTCAGATATATCAATCAAGATATACTTCCGGAAAGAAACTTTCTCAAACAAGTGGATCTTTGAGTAAACTTATATCCACTTTTGGAAATTAGATATTCTTATGTAAAAAAATATTTCTGCAGTTCATGACAAGATAACTCGACCCTCGATCACAAGAACCTGAACTCAAACGTCAACCAAGGATAAAGAACTGGAGATAGGCCAGAACAAGAATTTCTTAACCAGAACTGCAAAGAAGTCAACAACTGGACTTAAAATATAACAAAATTCAGATCAAAGCTGGATGCACTTTACTTAGTGGAGTTCAATATAGTTAATACGACTTAGTATTCCGGTCTTCACTCATTGACCAATTAAAGCTTGTTTCCAAATAACAAACCAGATTTCCTTATGTGTGTTTTAAAAACAGCTTCTCTCAGAGTAGGATTTGTCATGTGCTTGGTTCCCTTCTTTTCTAAGGAGGTGGAATATATATATATATATATATATATATATATATATATATATATATATATATATATATTATTTGGTATCCAAATGGACGTTCTCTTATGCTCTTATCTTTTCACTCAAGTAGTCAGTCTGGGATGTTAGTGAGTATTGCGTTCACATCTTGGGACACCGCCAATCGTAACAATAACGAGAGAGTGAGACAGTAAAGTTTACATTAGTTTAGAGAAATGAATGAATGAAAAGATGATTTTGGTGTACATAAAATCAGTCTAGCGACAATTCAATGACAAAATAAACACTAATAACAATAAATAATAAAATGATTACCAACCACGGTAGTGATTAATTACTCAAATTTCTTTGCTTCGTCTAGTCTAAGGGATGTTACATTTTTCTGTTAGTTGATAATTTTGAAGAATACATCCAAAATAGTGGTTTACCTAGTCAGTCATGTAAAATCAAGATTTAACTTTTCGTTCTAGATTAATTGATATCAAGGAGTTGCATAGAGGAGACTATCTACGTTCATTAATAAATCAGTTGGTTAAAATGCATCAGTATTGTAGCTTAGACAGAATATTATGAAAGCGATTGTTCCCGTTAAAAACAGAATCTTTTTTATTAAAAAAAATAAAAAATAACTACAAACCTCAGTCCAACAAGAGGTTGATTATGGCATACACTACAGCGTATATGATGGATTACTTGTTCAGATAAAGCAAGACGATGTAATAACGGTAGCCATGTTAACATTTGTGGATTTAAACGAAGCCATGTTAAGAAATGAACAATCCTTGCTGATGGTTTAGAATGATATGTTAAAGTTCCGTCTACTTTATCCGAGTGCTTTGAAATTTCGAGCACCTGAAATAATAGAATTCGAAGAAGATTTAAAGTTTATGGCATATACGTAAAGATTAAGTTTTGGTTGCTGTATTGATTTCTGGGCCTGATAATATTGTCTGATTCGGTAGAGGAGATTATCTAGTCTATAGAATGATGAATCGATAATAACAACAAGATTACCGAGAACTATTAATTATTGAATACTATGAGGATACTTTAAAAATTCAAATTCTATTATTCATGAAGCCAAATTCAATTTAAAATGCTTTTCAAAGTTGAATTACTTAGATTAAAGCAAATGCTCTGAAATATCACTTAGTCAGTCAGCCACATGCAACATACAACCTGACCTTCCTTATAAACTGAAACTATCAGTATTCAAAACCAATCAGATGAGATTACATTCAGTCCCCAACTTCTGAATGAAATTCTGGTCAATTCAAATCCAGCCCTAACTCGGTCACAATTAGTAAACTTTTCCAGAGCTGACCTATGTTGCTCTACGTCATTTTATACTACCCACAGCCTTTTCATCCTCATCAAGAATTGAAAGATTGAAATTAGTTTGCGATTCCGGTTGCTTGCAAAAGTTAGGTAGATGGAGACCAGTTCCATTAAACGTTCCACCGATTGTTCTAGTTCCCTAAACTGAGAGTGAATAATAATTCGAACTTTTTCCAGGATAGTCTTATTAACAGCCAGGTTTGGAATATCTGTTCGTTTGACAAGTCCGAATAATTGTACACCATCACCTATTACTGCTGTCTATTTGATTTTTTATGCTTTCGCTGCCCATCAGCGCTCATGATCCTTGAATAGGCTAGCGATCAATCTATGCTTAGGCTGCCTCTGCTTCCCATCACTAAAGAAATATAACTTTAAGTTTATAAATTTAAATTTGTTATTCTATGGATTCGATACTGAATAATGTTCAATTTTTAAATGTTAAGGGATTATCATCATTTGGGAAATCCAAATTCAATGCACAGCTGATTATTTCATGTTGGATACTGTCAGAAGTTTAAGAAAAATGATCGATGTTAACATCGTTTATAAACTAGTAAACTGGAGTACCATAAAAAACAAAATTAAGACTATTGCAAAGATTACAACATTCTGGGAAGATGAGATAGTTTGAAAACAATCATTTGTATTATTTATTGGGAATTCGTGTTTTCCCAATCACAGAATTAATCAAAAATGTTCAAAATTTGCGAATTCTTAGAATTCGGTTAGAACATTTCATTACTGACACAATTCTATAACATGAACAACATTCGTTATTATCAGTTGGAATTCATTTTCCCCGAACACTTTTTGTTAATTCCTTACTTTTCATCAATATTTTCATTTTATAATGGACAAGAATGAAGAATGGGTCCGAAAGTTTGTTTCCTCACAGTTTTCAACTAATTAACATGACACATTAGATGTATCGAGTCATATTGAAAAAAATAAACAACATTGCTCTGTGCCCAGACCTTTTTGATACTAGAATTTGTCGGCTACTTATTTGCTAAATAAGTAGCTAAAATAAATAACACCAAATACTAAAAATAAGGTTCGAATTTTTTATGTTCAAAGGTTAGAATTTATACAAATTCGAAGTTTGGGACCAAGGATCAGTTGATACCTAATATTTTTTGGTTTGACTCATTATACTGGAACAGCCTGTACTCTGGTACGCATTACTTTTTAATGTATAATGGAGTAAAAGGGGAATATATTATATTTAATATATTGTTATACAGTTACCAGATAATTGAAGTATAGTTTAAAGGAATCTATGGAAATTTTGATAAAACTGACTATAATTAAAACGCTAAACCTTATTGATTGAAACTAGCTAAATTTTCATTGCAAAGTGTCGCATTACATACTTGTTGGAAACACGTTTTTACACAATGATTAAAATCTTCATTTCCAAATTGTCCAGTTTCACCAAGATTACGTGGAATAAGTATACATTCATATAGTAAAGCACCTAGTCGTTGCTCATCTACACAACCATCACGATCAGATATCAAACTGAATAAATCTATCAAGTAAAAAACAGAAAATCTAACTATATCTATTATCAGAAATTTTTCCGATATTTTTTAAAACAAAAGATAATTATTATTGTCATTTTATATTGCGGAAAGAAACTTAAGTCAAGTACGTTTTATTCCGTTTTGTTTTTGAAGTTGATTCCCCCCAAAACGTTTTGGGAAATACCGGGTTCAGATGTGTCATTTTTAAGAAGCAGTTATGGTAATCAACTGTTCCTCTCCCAGATGGTTGTAGGTAGGTGACAGGAAACCTTGATCCAAGGTTTAGTGTTCATTGGCAGTGGTTATAAGATGTACCAGAAATCTTAGGAGAAATTGACGTTGTCTACAAGATTTTAACTTGCACTACATAGCTTTACTATCTGAAGTGCTATTATTAAGTTATTCATGTTTTGACTGAAATCCTGTAGTTTTCTCTGAACGATGAGCTTTACAATCTGATATTTAAAGAACATATTGACATTATTTTTATTTTTGGGGGTTGATATAGGGAGAACAATAGTTTAAAAACCCTCTTGAGTGGTTTAAAAGCAATGATTTTATGTGAAAAGCTTTATGATATCGATGGATTTAACTTAATGTATTTATTTTTTCTGTGCGTTAGGTATTATATTCATGATTTCTCCATACTGGGAACTTTTATTTATCATCTATCTAGTTGCATTAAAGAGAGTCCGTGGTGGCAAAGTCAAAACTTCGCTCTTTGTTTATGAAGACATGGTTGGTGATAACTGATATAGCAAATTTTTGAACATTCATCCAAGTACATATTGTAGTACATGTATCAATCATTAATGCAATATTCCTTCTGACTTAGTAAATATTTACTGTGAACTAATTGGAAATTATAAGAAGTTTATTTCATAGACTAACTGCGTTAGTTGTCGTCAAGATGTGGTTTGAGTGATTTTATCCATCTGACACCATTATATCAGTCGAATCGTTTCAACAAATCAAAAATCTAAGTATTATATATTAGCAATTCAAGTAGTACAATACTTATTGTATGAATTGGTTTTCTTTACGTGCGCTGTGTACGACTTTTTAATGTGTCGATTATTATTTTATCATCAATTTAAAGGAGATAAATACTTTACGACTAGAGTTTTTAAGCCCGATTCACAGTTAGTATTTCAAAGCGTATTTCATTATTCAGTCAACCTGGTAAACGTCAATTTTCGATCCACCGAATGAGATCTCAAACTTTGTTAAAATCTATTTTCAGACAATTTACAAATAATCAATTGTGCTTTGCACTTACATCGATATTTCTCATCTAGATTTGCCATTGACATTAAGGCCAGTGCTACTTTGAACGAGAGAACACGAATTGTACCACATCGCATTCTGTAGAAGTAGAGTAAAAATCAATAAATAAATATATCTGTATATAGGTGTATCAAAATATTTAAGATAAAGAAATCAAATTCAAATTGGTTAGGGTTCTTTTTCTAGTATGAAATCGCCATAAAAAAATAAACACTTAGCAAAATTAGTTTTTGCAGAAAAACGTACCCAGGTGTATCCGATCATACAGGAGAGAAGATAATTGGGAGCGAGCTTTATATATATATTTATCAATAATTTAGTTTTTCTCATTAGTTATGGCAGTTTAACCTGTCGATATTATAAACTATATTTATATCTGCAGTTATTGATTAATGAACGTGCAGTATTTTCAAATTCGATGTATTGAAATATGATCCGTAATCAGATAGGTGAATCAGATAAAACTAAGTAGAATAAATTCTTATCTACTGGCTTGATCATCATTCTTAAATCATACAAATTATAACGTTCCTTGTTCCACGTGACAGTCTCCATTTGGTTATAACAATTAACGAGTTATAAATTTTTTTAGTTATTATAAAGATGATCAGTATTCCGGTTAACTCTAAATAGTGTTAGTCGCTTTTCATACTGAAGTCTATAAAACAAATTCTACATTACAGGTAAATGCTAACCAGAAGTAAGGAACTTCACAGAATTCTGAATTTTATTTACAGTAAATTATTCAATGTGTTCACTGTTTTCATGTAAATAATTAATTCTAAGAACGGCAGACAGACGACACTTCAGGTTAAATATAAACAAAGGCAATTAGGAAGATACTATGACCATTAGACTTTATGGTTAATAATATGATATTTACATAGTTTGGCTTTGTTTAAGAAAATGAACGAATTGATTGATCAGTTCCGATCCTGTCAGATGGAGAATCATAAAACTGAAATCTTTTGCACATTGTTTAAAATTTAACAGAAACTGATGAATCAATTCGCTAGGTGAAATAATTTTTCTTTTTCAGTCTCTCATTACTGATAATGTGTTCAGGTGAATAGGCTTTTCACTATCTGCAATTATTTTCAGTTGGACCAAACAAGAAAATAAATCTACATGATATATGTCTTTAGGGAAAGAAATTAAATAGTTAATACTTGTAATGTCTTATACTGGCAATAAGCCTAATTAAATAGGTGAACATGTCAACCTCTTGACTAGTGAGTTAAAAGTTTCTCTACGTTGTAGTTTGATTCATGTGATCAGTTTAGTTTTATAGGATCAATGAAAGTGAATCATGAGCTCAGAGAGCGACACTCCATCACAATCATCCACCAGATTTACAAGTTTCCTCTACCATCTGAAAAGTGAATTATTTGGTCATCTTTTAGAATAATTAAAAATGAATGTGAAGGGTAAAGTTTTAACTTTGCAATAACTTTGTCTTAGACTGAGTATTCCTTTCTAGCCGCGAATTAAAACATTAGGTATCAGGATTGCATGAAGCAATCAGTCAGTTGGTCGTAGGTGTTATCCAGTGCTATCTTCTGTTTATCAGACTATCAAAGATGATCATACTACTTACTACCTTCAATAGTAAAATTATAAGCGATAAGTAGGAAGATTTGAATATTTTCAAAAGAAAATTTGTTTATAATGAGAATGGTAATTTTATTATTAAGTTCAAAGAATACCCTGTCATCCTAATCAGTTCAATTAATTATTTGATATAAAACATACAAATATAGTATAAATAAGACTAATGGAATGACACTTACCGGTCATAAACATTTAATAACCAATTCAATATCAGATCAACGCATACATTCACCGGACGTTTAATTGAACCAATTAGATAATGTTTTCTACGTCTCATTGAACTTCGTCGACTACGATTTACACTGTTCATATCTTTATTGTTATTATAATTGTTGACTTGCATAATTGTGCATACAGGTAAACTTGAACTTCGATTATCTTCACTCAGTGCATTTTCAGTTTCTGCTGTATGACAGCCCGGATCTCGTACAGGTGTTTTAGTCAATTTCCTATTGTTTTCAGTTTCATCTGATGGTAAAGAAAACAATACTGGTTTACTTGGACGTATTGTTGAAGATGAACGTAGAAAACTACCCATGCAATTTCTTGAGTTATTTTGAGATTGAACTGTGTTGGATTTTAAGTCGAACTAAAAAGAATAAAAACATGAATAATTTTATTCGTGAAAAGTACCGTAAAGTGATAAATCACTGAATTTATGAGGAAAATAATATTGTCCATTGAACACTGAGCATTAAAAAAAAACATTCATTCAAGTGATAAATAATTTATGATTGATGAACGACAAGGACACCATAGTCTACATCTAAACGTGACTATAAACTGGGAATCTTGTCTGATCCTAGTTAAGAATTTCGCGCTTGGTCTAAAAATTGAAATTCAATAGTCCGATGGTTAATAAGTAATTGATTCTGCCTGATGTATCCAAGCGCCCTTGTAAAACATTCACTGTTGATTTCAAAGATATTTGCTGCTAGATTTAAGTGAAACTGTCACTGTAGTTTCATATATCAATTTCTTTGTCAGTCTTCATTAGAAGCAAGAGGAAATAACATTGGAATTCATTGGTCGAATCTATTACGGCATGAAATATTTCTTTGATTGAAAGCTAGTAATAAATTTTTGATGTCTGAATGGGAAAGGCTATTAATTATTACTTAAAAAAAACTTTATCACATGAATTTTGAATATTATCAAGTTAATTGAATGGTGAAAGAGATTATCATAATCATTGATCCCATAGATCTTGGCTGAATATTTTCATGTAATCGATATTCTTTTTATATTTGTTTCATTTGTATTGATTTTCTTAATGATTCTTATGTATAGTTACTTTGTTCTACTTAAGTCTGTAATCGATAGTGGAGAGATTATCATCTTAATACCTTGAATCTACATTTTCTAATTCTGGAGTTTTAAAAAAAGACAACTTACATCAGAAGGTCGTGAACCTGGCAATGTTGAATAGCGTTCGTTAATGCCACTCTTCAAGTTGGAATTAGATCCGTAAACATCATTTACAGCTGGGTCATCTGATTTCAAATTATCCGTATGGACTCCAGAACTATGTCCGTAAACAATATTAGTGGTAGGATTCCTATTATTGTTGTAATTGTCATTATTATTATTATTGTTATTTAATCCATACAAAGTCCTTGTATGATTAAATAATTGTAGCAAATAATCGATAATTTGAGGTACACTAATCGTACGATCGAATGGATCAGTTGTCTGTTGACCAAGCATGGGATTACTTAGTGTTTGTGAATGACCAATATGTTTTAAACTCTCAGCAACAATGGAGATACTTATGGAATCAACTACAATTGAAATGATTGTCAAAATACAATTAATAAATGAGTAGATACATTGATACAAAGAACATACTTATTTTTAAGCTGTTGCTATGAGTAAAATAGGAGAAAATGACTAGATTGTGAAAAGAAAATATAAGCGCAAATGGTAATCAAATCAATTCGATTCTATTTCTCTCAACAGAATACTTAATTAGACAGAAAAACTTGATACCAAGCATTATTCCTGTTTACAGTTGGATGGGTCAATATCAATGTAAATAAGAAAGTTGTATTCTGAAAGTATAGATGCTAACAGTTTTGCGAATTATTTTCAACCATGTTTGATGAAGTTATTTTAGTCAGTTAATCTATTTATGGTGCGTGAAATCAACAGCCTTATTTAGCTTTTATTCTCAGCCATATATTTGTGTGTATTTTGACTTCTAATACTATTTTAAATTCAGCGTTATTATCGAAAAAAGTTGTCATGCTAATTATTGTCCTGTTTTTGTCTAATCAACTAGACTATCAATGCATAACATTAAGCTATAATTCAAACCATTTGTTTCTAGTTGTATTAAAATTCTTGACACCTTGACAACATTAATTTCTTAGAATATTAAGTTTGGTAAACTAGATGGCGAGTTTTCGTAAATTCCTTTCAGTAACTATTTATATAGCTAATTTAAAGAAATAGCAAGCAAGACCATGAAACGTCACGAAATTTTATCCTTTGAGCCAAATCTGCTGAATGACTTGTTAAATATTTCATTAATATTATCCAGTGACAATATTTATAATTCAAGCAAGCTGAAAACATCTATAATTATGTGAAATCAAGAAAATACCAAGTGACACAACTTACAACATAATTCTTTCTGTAATCGACGTAGTTTCAAACCAGTTCGATAGTCAGAAAATCGAACAGTATTAAATTGTTTCATAGATTTCATTAGATCACATAAAATCGGATGATCCCACTGGGTTTCCTGGGTTTCGTGACTTAAAAAGAGAAATAAAAGAACAAATAAAATCACTGCTACGTGGTTGAAATCAGTCAAGAGAAACTCGTGGATGTAGGTTTCCTAATAGTTAGTATTTAAATAAATGTGTAACCTGGAAGTAACTGCTTCTGTATAAATGATTCGAATCCTTGCCATTCAGTTTTTATAGTATGAGAAATTTCCACCGATCAACAGAATTCAGTCTGCAAGTGAAGGATTCTACGAACATGACTCAGTCACCAAGTGACTATATTTGATCTAAATTGTCAAAACTATTAATAATTGTGTTCATGGATTGATATTCAAGAGTAGATTTTCTACAAGCTTATATAATTCTTTAATTTTTTAAAAGCTTAAAGATGTATTAACCGGATTTGTGCGTTTTTCATGATTCTCTATTTATTTAGACCATATTTATTTGATATTTTTCTTACAGTCTCATTATGTCAAAATCTTTGATTTCGTATGACTCTCCTTTGTTTTGAACTTGTAATCTGTTTTTATTAAAACTGTATTAAAAATTGGCATCAATGTGTATTATTAAACTTCACGTAAAGGCAGGCTAATCTGATAAACATTGAGTAAGAAGTAGACGTTTCAAAATTCATCAAACTACGAAAATTTAAGTGACTGTAATTACTCGAGAATATTAAGCCTAAACTATATGATTTCCCCTAATGATTCCGGCTGCAGCAATTTGATGATTGATAACTGAATTTATTTTGATGCACAATCAAAGAATCCTGTATTTCAAAATATATAAATGGAATTAATTACTTAATATAAACCAGTGAAAGATTCAAGATCGTGACAACAATAACAAGCATCATTCAACTTTGAATAAGTTAGTGGCTCATGAGGTAGTTTTTAAAGGGATCTTTTAGGTATCAGCTTTGTTGTGAATATCTACACTTGGGCAAAAGTAAATGTATCCAACGAGTATCGAATGGGATGAAATACACATTCTACATTTTATTGCTGGTTACATTAGAGAAACATTGTGATTTCTATACGTCGTTACACTATAACACTGAGATATCAAAATGTATTCAAACTATCTAAGTGAGCACAGTCGCGTCTAGTGCACTGATTCATTCTTTTGTTGTAATTTGTATTTTACAATAAGTATAAACAAATATTGTAACTCTCGCATACTTTTTATAATATGGAACCTGTGTACCGGACGGATGAACACATCTTTCCCATGGTAGACGAACGGAGTCTAAAAACAAAGAAGAGGTTTGTAATGATTTTATTTTTCAGTATAAATCGATTGAATAGCTGATCAATTCAACCGATGGAATAAAATATGAGGTTTTTTGATAACAATAAATTTTTAACAAATATTTTGAGTATGTTCAGAATGAACTTGTCTAAACTTTTACCCAGTATAAATTGAACAGAGTACAAAAGTATACTAATCTAGAAGTTGCCAGCTGTTTTAGTAGCTGATCGAAAGTATTTTAATGTTTAAGGAATATTTGCTGAAAACGAACTAAAGGTAATAGCCTGAAATAGATGACCGATCACCAACCAAATATTATGCATAATTCAATCAGTGAAATTATTTTTGATATGGAAGAGAACTAATAGTAACAATAATAAATATATTTTTGAGAAAAGTTTACTTTTCTGGGCGATTTAATTCTCGTCAAAACATAGAAATGTTTCACATGTTATCGTAAACGGAGAAATTTCGTGGTGTAATGTATGGTGTCAAATAAGTACTAATTATTAAGAAGCTCATTGCTAAAAACAAATCAACTATAAGAATATAAGAAATCGATAATATCGATTGCTAACTGTTGATTCATATAATTTTACTTGAAAATAAACCTGCCTAACAAATTGAAATGCAACCATCCATTGTTAAGTGTATTTGATTCTGATTTCAGATTCTAGATGACTGCTTATCGTTATAAAAGTTTCAATTGATCGATGGCGCAAAAAATTAAATCTGAGTAGTGATAAAATCTTTACAATTTCAGTGTATTTTTCTACAGTATTAAATTATGTTGATATTTATGAGTTACATGTACACATGTACCACACTTAATAAAATGAAAGTACTTCTAATTGATAAATCTCATAAGACATGAATCATTTGAATGAAGTTATGCTTTGTAGGACTTTCGAAAGATTTCAGTCGATCACAGTGAATTTCTCTTACCGTGTAACGGAACATTTTTTGATTGTCTCGAAGCCGCCGGTATACTTTGATCCATTAGTTCTGTGGTTTCATGACATGATGCTTGAGTACGTTGGGAGGAATTACGTGTAACCGTTTGATATTTCGGCCTTTGTGGCATCATTTGTAGCGCTGATAAACTTTGATTAAGTTGATGAATTCTTGTTTGTGTAATAACACGAATTCTTTCAAACCTTTTGAATGGAAAGTAGTAAAGGCAAGTTAGAAAAATACTCTAATGTCATTCTGAATAGGAAATCATACATCATCATCATCATATATGTTAGTTCTGCAAGATGAGATGTACACAAAAAAACCTATATTCTTTAAAAAAAAAGGATTGTGTGCTTTATAACTGAAGCGGTTCTAGACCATATTACAGACAAATTAACTCTTTATTTTCAGATGAACCTATATTAAATTGTATAATTAGGAGACAGTTTTGTGATTCACTTACAAAGAAATAAATACTATTTAATTTTCGTCATTAAACACAATCCACTAAGTTATGTAACAGAGTACATGTTCAAAGTATCAGTAGTGAACTAAGTCAGAAAGATAGATTCTTTTTATTTTAATCTATACACTATAAAACTAAAATTTATAGTTTCCTTTCTGGTTATATGGTAATCAGTTATTATTGTGATGTAAACTCATATGGAATTATTCTAAGCAATAAAACTACTAATTGACCATTTTCAAATCATTCTCTATTACAAATTCCGTTGAGATGTGATTAAATTGCATAGTTTTAATATTATTAATATAGATAAAGGTGATTGTGCTATTTCTAGACGGTTGTAATTTTTTTATCCAATATTTGATAGATTCTAAATTCTGCTTAAACATTATATTATATCTTATTGAATTTACTTTTGTACAACGCAAGGACTTGTTAAGATCAATAAGGCACTAAATGGACGATACGTACATAATAAATTCCATTTAATGGGATTAAGTGAGCTACAGAATACTAACAAAATTTGTCATCATCCAAAGTCCGATACACATAAAAATTTAAGAGGAAGTATTATCAGTGATTCAAATAGCGACTATGCTGGTGAATAGCATAATTATTCATTTGTTGAGAACATGCTTACCTGTCTGCCTTAAGATGACCTTATTTGACAAATTTCAACAAATTTTAAAAAGCAAGGCATAAAATGTTTACTTCTCATCAATCCAAGGTATTCGACTAGTGGATTTGGTAAAAATACGCATCATTCACTTAATAGCCGATTATAAAACCATAGAAGTAGTAGTATTGAAGCTAAGTATTTGTTAGTCATTAGATAGGAAATATAGTCAATACAAACCTAACCTGAACCGTGTTCAATTTTGTATACAAATCAAGGTATTAACAACCGTTTGTTACACATGGAAATACCTAACATATTTTAAACACACTCTATTCTGTTAAAATCGGTTGTTAGATAGTTTAAAGGACAAACAAGCAAATAAACTAACGTTGATTTAATATCCCCTCTTACCACTTCATTCTATTTCAATTTTTGTTTTCAAAAGCGACCTATATTCTCTTTGTAGATATCAAATTTTAATTTTTTTTACTTTACAAAGTCAGTCATTATGATTAGAAAAAAAAATATATGGAACACCAAATCAAAACGTGAAGACGAGTATTCACACTAACTTAAAATGCTTTGCTTATGATAATTTAAAGTTAGTTTTGTATGACAGTCTGTCATGATGAAATCAGGAATGTGGTCTAGTGACTGAATTATTTTCAGAGCTTGATAACACACCAATAGTCACATAATATTATTCTCAATTCTTGAAACATCAACCTTTAACGTACAATAAAATCTTTATACGAGAACATATAACAATGTTAAGCCAACCGAAGCAGTTTACGATTCAGTGGTGACAACGAAATACGTTACAAAAATAAATATAATATGCACAAAGTGCATATTGTTAGTAAGATAATTAGGGCTTGAATTAATCTTTTATAGTTGAAAGTAGATCAGAAAACTTAGAAAAATAGACACAGGAATAATACTGATTAAAAACTAGTGAAATCACGAAAAATGAAGTGTTCAGGTAACTAGCCAGTAAAGCATATGTTTAAAAACGGTGCTGAAAAAAAATGTACAAAAAAAGCGTACGGAAATTAATAACACTTAAAACCGTTTATCATGCTTAATTCGGTCAAGGATGGTGTTACAAGTTTATTGTGAAATCAAAGATTGTAGAGTTGTAGGCAAACATCTTTGCAGCTACGTGAATTATAAACTGTGTTTCGATTAACACCATGAACCGACTAAAAGACGACTAAGTAAGATAATCTGTATGAAAAGTAACTTTGATCATCCTCAATATTCCATCGTGTAGAGAGCTACACTAGCTACAACACCATTACATTGTAAGTTTGGGGAAAGAGGTTTCATCTGAGTTGACAAATCATAGATTTCATGTGTTAACTTTGGTCATGTTACCTAACTCACTGTTAACATCAACTCATAATCTCCCTTGATTGTTTCAATATTTTTATATGTACTTATATAAAGATTACTGTATATTAAAACAAATTCTAATGAGGATTTTGACAAAGACAATATTTGTTTGATGATAGTTATTATTATAATTTCCACAATCAGAGTTTTTCTGTAAACAATGTTTCTTGCCACAAAAATCGAACGAACACAGGAACAACGATAAACATTTTAGAGGTTGGACCAAAGATTACTTAAAAATATCATACAAACAAGATAGAGGAAAATAGTTATGGAATAGGAATGAGTAGTATGGTGAAATAAATTTAAGAAATGAACTTTTTATCTGCGAAGGGAATGGAAGCAAGGGAAAATTGCTGAAACTTACCAACAGTAGTTGAATTAGAAGCATGACTACTAAAAAACCATAACACCATCGGGCATCCAACTACTACAAATTCACCATGAATCTTTCCAGGAAGACTTTTGGTTTTCATTGGCTAACGAAGTGAAGTTAGTTTGTGATGTAAAACTATAGAGAGAACAATCGCTACAAAGCCCTGATGCTAAAGTTACTATTTTTCTGTTTAATTTTGCTGATCATTACGGGAAAATAATGAAATATAATTTATAACTAACTAATCTTAGTTTAATAGCCATTATAAAAATTAGGAAGCACTTGACAACTGTTTTCTCCTTAGTAGTACGTATCCTTGACTTCATCGATCTTCAGATTCCCAGGTAGGGGGTCATGAATGAATACTACGGAAGAGTTCAATATCAGGAGAGAACAGTTATCTAGTGTCTCGTGATTTTTAATGGTTGTGATTTCAAACCACCCAGTTTTAAAACGTTATCAGAGATGTTTTCAAATTATCGATATTTATTACGCAATTCATCAACCTTTGAGTTCCACATTATTTCTGCCTCATCCTGTTTTATATTTTCTAAATTTATCCTCAAGTGACCTTGTGAATATATATATATATATATATATATATATATATATATATGTTTATACTGGGACATCAACCTCCATTATCAATTGGTAAGTGGTTGAAGAACTACAAACTCCTGTTATTCTACTTCACTTGTAGCTTTTTTATTTTATCCTAACAAAAGTTGATTAAATATTGAAAATTTAATTAGTTATGATCGACTAGGAATAAATAAGTACTTACCAAGGTAAAGATAAATATCACAGATAGAGTTTTTCTGAACACATATATTAACACCAACTACACTTGAATTCATAAACAATCTGTGAATTTCAATAGATGCACTACGAAATATTTTTCAATTGAAAAATCCTCTATTTAGTTGTGTTAATTTCATGATAAAAACTTATATTCTCATGCGATCTATACTTTTGTCTAGCTATGAATTATTGTGTGAATGGTTGGTTCATTACTTTTCCATTATGGTATCATGTGTTCATAAGTTTTTAAAATTACTTCTCATTATAAGTACTGAGTTATGGTTGGGAAACTACTTAATTTCCTTGTTGCATTTATTCGTGATTGTAATGATAATAATAATAATAACAAACATTAATAATCTTCGTAGGAACATTTAATTTCAATGGGAGAAGGCTTTAGATATATGATTTGATAACGTGTACCAGTAATGTAGACAATTACAATGAAGTCACAGGACAATATGCATGATTAGTATAATCTCAACAAAGTCTAATTGTTTACTTTTTGCTCAAAACGTTTAACTTTCAACTAGTCTTTGGGCTGTACTGATAAGACGAACGTACATGCACGTGTGTGTGCATGTAACAAATGAAACAGATCTAATAATACAGATATAATATAATACGTTTACATACTAAGTCGTACTTGATTTTAGAAGCAGACTCTATTTGCAGGTAGTCACAGTGTACATTTTATGCTTATCGTTATCTTTTTTTACATAAAAAACAACTAATTCTGTTATTCACAGTTATAATTTATGATATGACTGAACCAAACAAGGTAAGTAATTTCAAACAAATGTCTGCCATTTTAGAGAAAATGTTCTTCCTCTTGTTAAAAATTTCACTTTTCTTCATTTCTCACTGAATGTCCGTTCAAATTTCCTTAAACTAATAGTATCTTTACCTGTAGAGATTTATTTTTTTCAACAGTGATTATAGAGATTATGATTTACATAGATAACATTTTTTGTAATCAGTTGTTACATTTGAATTTTTCTGATTCTAAATAAACATTAGCTAACAAAACAATTGAAAGCTGGGAGCTTTATGGTTTTCAAAACAAAAAAGTGATGTCCTACAAACTAACTATGCAGATGATAACTGGAGTTTCAATAGTGACTACATACAATCTAGATTGCTCTAATTTCTAATAAGAAGCTGTAAAGTCCTCCAGACTAATTCATAATAGCAGTGAGAAAGTAACACATTGATGATAGCATTAGAAAAATTTTAAGTTATGGCTGATTGAATTTTGACTTCTTGTTGACTATGACTTATCGTGATAAGCCACTGTAACGAAACTTTTCTTTCTTGCCTACGTTAAATGTTCATTTTCAATTTGAGTTGCATACAGTGGCCATTTTGAATAATAACACGTGAAAATCCAATTTATCAGTTCATTTAAATCATTCACGCTGATAAAATAGATTTCATTCTATTTTAAATTTGAATATTTGTCAACTGTGTTGTTTTTTTTCTACTAAAATAATAATCGACTTTATTGTTAATGTGACAGACTGAGTTGAAATTAGTGGATTTTATTTTTTTATTTTTTCTTAATTCAATGAAGTGTGAGAACAAATTCACTTTTACACAGAAAAGAAAGTCACTGGGCTGGATAAAAAACAAGACCAATGAATATTTAATATCTCAGTTTATTTTATAATCTCGAGAAACTGCATCATTATTCAGTTGTTTTTTGTGTTCTGTATAAAATTTTCAGAATTAAAAGGCAAAAATAAAGGAATACATGAATCGTGTATTATTTTCGAAATTGTAAAAAGCTTACAACTTAAATTCTCTTATTTGCTGATCAATTTAAATTATCTTAAATAATTATACTACTAGATAATTACATGCTAAGCATATACAATTTTAACATCTGATTACTCGTTCATCACATAAATATTATTGTCTTTTCAATGCTTTGCAGGAAAAAACCATTGTGTATTACTGAAATATGTCTAGACTATAGTTTAAAATAGTATGCACTTTTAATCAGTTACTCAAGAACTAGAGAAGATAAATTAAGCTGTATGTATACTCTGTTAACAAGACAACGAAATATATTTATATATTTATACACACACACATAGATAAATGGACACGTAGGGATCGAAGATATGAAGTGAAACAACTTGAAAATTCATGCATCCATTCGAAAATCAATTGATACATAGAAATAAATCTGATAATTATACCTACTCATTTCTGATACAGTTAAGCTGTACACGTAATTTTGGTTCAATTTGTACTTGTATCTCTTGTAATTGAAGTACTTGTCGTTCTAGGCTGTCCAATGAGTGAGCCAATGGTTCGCAGGCTTCATAAAAAGACTACAGTACAACATAAAAATGATAGTTTGTTAAAATATTTATTTATCAATGTAAGGCATTGCATTTTTAATGGTTAAAAATATACAACATAATGAACAAAGAAAATAATGTGAAGTTTTAAAAAAAGACAGATGCGATTCTATAAACTTCGATGTTCTGGTTTTGTCCAAAGATTTCGGTAATATTGAATATGATATCACATTATATATATATATATATATATATATATATATATATATATATATATATTTATAAAATACAATTATTCATATCAAAGCAATTTTATGTTATATTCGAAAAAAGTAAAACTGATCTGGTATGCAAACAATTTTAAGGGACATTTCAATATTTTTAATCAATAATAATTTCTCCTTAAATACACTGATTATATCAAATATCCATAAGTCCATTATCTAACCGTCAAACTTGGTTACATATCTGCCGTCTAAAAGTCTATATTTCTAAAAAATATGCACTATTCCAGTGGTAATGTATTATCCTAAAACAGCCCCCTATGCGTGATCATTAGCTTCATTGAATATATTTTCGGAATTCAGTAATTTAATGACATTTAGGTCAGCAAAAGATGTATCCGCATAAACGTCATATAAATGCTCGCATAACAAGTCACACATGAGAAGATTAAAGTGGCCCGTTGGTTCCTGTTTTTCAATAGTTTGTTAGCTGATGAAAATCACTAACAGCGAAGCAGTATCAAGTCATCTAATCAATGTTTCCAATTACCTGTTTCATGCCAACAACATGTAGATTAGAATTTGTTGAATCAAATAAATCATGGTTAAAAGCAATAAAAAAATAGTATAACTACTTCATTTTTTTAGTGGTAGTTTTTTTCTATTTTCAACGACTAACTTTTCTGACATTTAAAGCTTGTTTTCTGAAAAGCTTTTCCGATTAAAAAGAAACAACATTTGTTTCATATTTCTACATTCCTATTGTGAGTTGCCAGAATCTAATAAAATCCTAACTGGTTACACGCATCCTCAAAGCGAAATATAATGTATACAAAATGTTTTGAATTAAATTAAGCAGCTCTACAATGGCTGCAGAATCATGTTTAAAAAATCTTGAAATTGAATTCAACTGAGTCCATTCAAGCGTAGGAAAAAACAACAGATGGCAAACAATGGACATAAAGTTAAATTGAATATAACTGTAAGTTCAAATGAATTGTGAATTATTTCACCTTATGGTGCCTAATGCAAGAAATCAGCCAAAATGATACACAATGTCTACAAAGTTAAGGAATACAATACTTTCCTTCTAGGAACCAAACTACAAAACCTAACAATAAGGTTGATGATTCTATTCTCTGAATAAACTAAGAATAACTTTCTAAGAAATATTTTTTTCTCCCCCGGGTTACAAAACAAACTGTTCTTGCTAATCGCTTAAACTAACCAATACTTTGAAGTTTATTTGAATGGAAACTGTTTAGTACTGGAAATAACGCAGTAACCCACTGATTTTATTAATGCTTGTTGAGTTACTCTAAGAAATGACTTGGGGTTAAAAATATAGTCCAACAAATTCTAACGTGACTTTCTATGTGTGGCGTACTCGTTGTTAAGACCTGAGAAATTCATTTTCAATTTTCATGAAGCTCAGCGCGTGCCTCCTGACAATTCCCAAACAAGGTATTCAAGAATTGTTTACTTGATGTCAATCAGTTCACACAGTAAAAATTATCTTCATATTGAGCTAAACCTCAATATGTAACATAAGAAAATGCAAAGGTTTATTTTCTCACAATTCAAAAATTTATTTTTTTTCGTGAAAAAAAACGAAGAATTATTATATCATTCTATCGGGTTTAGGTAAAGGTGAAAACTAAACTAAACTAAACTGTTCAAATTTGACCCTTAGGCTCTCAAATAAGCAAGTCATTTGAAACAATGAATATTCCATTTAATTTTGTGATTATCTAATTAACTCATTGATTTTTCAGGTCACCAATCGCTCAACATTTTTATGACAGGATTTTTTTTTCACCAGAACAAGTGACAATAATAAATTATAAAAATTGTCTTCCATGACTATTTTTGAAGTTTCTCATTTTATTCCTAAAATACTTTAAAATTGATTGACTTTATTTGCTTTCATTGCGTGCAATCACTAACCATTATTATCAAACTGTATAGTAACATTGATCTGTATAAGTTGGAATAAATCGTGCTTAGCTGGAAAAATAAGGTTTGGCAATGGAACTGTCATTGTGTTTTTATCATTGCTTTGATGTTCTTTTTCATTAAAAAAACTTTAATCCAGATAAATTATTCTGGAAAGTAATGTCGATTACATCAAGAAATCAATTTCCAATCTTACATAAAACCAATAGAAGAATAGCTGCTGAGTCATTGTATGATATTCCTCAACAAAGTACAATTATTGATTTGTTGAAGTTCTGTGGAGAACCTGAGAACTGCGAATTTAAATAAGTGGGAAGAAGGTGAAATATTTATCCCGTTGTTCATATTACCACCTGATTACAATTGGTAGTTCGTTTCGTCTGATTGTGATGAAATCGGTCAACTATTTCATACTCGCTGTTAAACAAATGAGATATCACTTGAGCCCGAAGATATACACTACCGTGAAGTCTTAAACTATAATTAAGCGGCTGTCATCTGCATCCTAGTTTTCTGTGGGCGTTCAAGTGACACCACTAGACAGTGAAGACTTTTCAAAGTTATATCAGGTGTATATTGTTGAACCAACTTTCATAAGACAATCAGAATTGAAAGTCACACAAACAGTGGTTTAAACAAGATGAGATGGGAAACGGAAGATCAAATTTTAAAAAAGAGGAAAGATTGATGCGAACAATCTAGATAAAATGACCGTTTTTGTTTCCCAACACTCACATTTGATAAAAAGAAAAAATCTGGCAATCAATTTTTAAAAACAAGATTTTTAACTGAATTTAGTCAAATGAGACTCCACCTGTAGCCCTTCGAAGGTGACTGCCGGTTCCCACCGGGACGAATGAGGAGGTTTTGGATGTGGTTGGCGACTCTTCCCATTTGAATAACAACTCACTATAAAAACGCTAACCAGAAAAAAAATAAATCAAACCATTTCAACTCTGCCCACGGAGATGGAAGGTCTTCAGTTAGAAGAACTAGGATGCTTTGTGGTGAAAGCTTAGTTTCTGCGGGGGTCGTGAGACTGACGCCGTATCTGACAAACAGAGCAACAATTAATATGATTATACACTGTGGGAAACCGGAAGAACTGTTCAAAACGTTGAGAGAAAGAATCGAAAACTGTGAGAAATTCGTAAACCTATGTGCATTCAACAAAGCGTTTATGGGTGACACCATGTTACCTACAAAAGTCGAACCATTTCAATCACATCTGCATCAGAAAAAGTTCCGAAACACGATTGAGGAACTGACACGGATTCAGATAATTACCTGGTAGTGGCCAAGATGAATTCGAATTCAAAGAAACACTGGACAATTGTTGAAACACTATTATAAAAGTTTAATACGGCCTTTCTTTGAGATACTGGCAAAATCAACGAATTAAAGATAGCCCTCATCAATAAGTCCCTAGTCTTTCACGATCTTCTCAAAGAAGGGGAAACTACAATGAAGAACAACTGGAAAGAGACCAAACAAGCGATAGCCTGAACATGTCTTGAGGCTTTGGGTTCTTAGAAGCACCATCACAAAGAATCGATCACTGCTGATGTACCGGATAAGATTCGGGAAGAGAAAAGCTGGAAGGCAGAAATAAATACCAGCCGTACAAGAGCAGAGAAAGCCAAGGCACAAGCTGAATACACAGCAGCAAACAAGCAAGTGAAGAGGAGCACTAGAGCCGACAAACGTAAATATGTGACCTCTCAACCAATATCGGCCCATCAGTAATTCAGAAGATAAGCATGCCCATCGGACAAATCCAGTGCGGCAAATCGGCAGGTTTAGGCAACAGTCTAGCTAAGGCACTGAAAGCAGACATACGAATAACTGAAAAGATAATCCATATTCTCTTCAGAAAAATTTAGGCTGAAGAACCAGTACCAACAGACTCGAAAAAAGGATATCTCATCAAGACAAAAAAGAAAGAAGATCACAGCAAGTGTTAGAACTACAGAAACATCGCTCATCTCTTAATAGTGGGAAAAGTCTTAAACATAGTGTTGTTGGAAAGAACAGAGGATTCCGCAACTATACTACAAAAGGAAGTCCGTGGCTCAAAATACCTATCAACTAACTCTGAAGTCAGAATTTTCAATACAAATGTCAAGACTGTTCTACTGTATCAAGCGGAAACCTGGAGAACTTCAAAAGCCATCATCCTGAAGATACAAGTATTTGTTAACGGTTGCATACACCAGATACTGAGGATCCGTTGGGCAGTCAAGATCAGCAACAACGTACTGTGAGAGGGAATAAACTAGCAAAATTCTCAATTACAATAAAACAACTAACTTATAACGAAGTATGAAAATGTTTGTCAACTAGTAAAAAATATCAATCCCATACTAAACTTTACGTGTAAACTGCTTAATAAATTTTTTGTAAGCAAAAATGACTTACCTTTGTCTGATCGAGTTCGGTTTTTATATGTTCACTTGGCAAAAACTCCAAAGGGATCCATTTCAGTGTTACAGATTCAGCACTTTTCACCTGAGCTACTGTGTCATTTAACAATGAACTAAAATTGGATAGGCGCTAATTTTCGTTTATTTGAAATAAAAATATTGAAATAAAAAAGAGATAAATTAAGAATTGCAAGGAGTTGTACCAATTTATTTTAATTTATATTCTACCGAAATATTTCAAGCTAATGTATGTACTGGAGGTTTAAACATACTGTTTGAAAATTGAGTTCAGTCAGGTCCAGAAATGACAGTCAACTCAGTGGTTTACTTTGACTATATTTTAACTCCAAGTGTGTTTGATTAAGATAAGAAGTACTAACGAGTATCAAAAATATGAAAGCAAAAGAAAGTTTGCGCTTTATTTTAATAGATTTCAGTTCTTGAGAATAATAAGTTCCGAACAAAAATGGATTGTAACAACACATGTGAAAGCACCTGGAGATAAAATATCAGAATATCTGAATTCCTTTCTTACCAGAGAAGTGTGAGGTGCATTTACACAGTAGTATAGTAATACGAGGTAAAGAGAAAAAACTATAAAATGAACTAAGATTAGTAGAATCGTTGTGTAACTAAACATCACTTATTATCTCTCAAAAAACTTCACTCGACCGTCTTAGGTTTTTTCAAATGAAAGTGGTTTTTCGTGAACGAAAGCTTGTAAATTATACCATCACTAAAACATTCTATTTTTTGTTTCGGAATTGTTGGGTAGAATTCCAAAATCCCAAGAAATTTATAACTGCTTTTCATTGAACTAAAAGCAAATATCTAGAACGGTAATGGGCTATCATATTCCATTATCTGTTGGCATTTAAGATTTACAATGAGCTTGTAAAATATTTTTTTTTAAAGTAGTGAATATTTTGTAAATAGTAAGTAATGAGCCATTCAAACATTGTTTTTTTTTTCATTTTTAATTAATAAACATTATAACTTCTTTAAACATATAACTAGCGGATAATATCATATTTTAACTTAGGAACTTTAACGTTGTGATTAGTTTTAATCCTAATAAATGTCTACTAAAATGAATCTAGTGAATAGACCTATTAATTGGAACTCCACCATTGAAGATGATATACGAACTGTCTGAATAATACATGAATTACAAAGCAATGTAAATTTTAATGCAAAAACCAACTAACCTCCCATATACCATCGAGCTGACATTTAAAATCTAACATGTTATTATTTAAATTTAACCATTTTTTCTTTAAATGATACAAATGACGCGTTATTCGACGATTTATTCGTGTAGTACGATCTTCTATGCTAGATTTTTGTTCATGATTACTCTTACATCCTGAATCGGATACATCTGAGTCGACTTCGGATTCACGTTCAGTTGACATATTCAATTTAGTTTGGCTCACAGTATCATATTGTGTTCGACCATGGCATAGAACTTCTTCAATTTGTAGTCGATTTATATTCAGTTCTTGAAATAAACCCTTTTGAAATAAAAAAAACAATCAGATGATATAAATTTTAAGTATGCGTGTGACTGTTTTCGTCAGTTTAATTACATTCAAGTAAATGATAAAAACCTAAAATCTTTGGGTAAATATTTAGTCACAGAATCAGACCTCATAGTGATTTCGATTTACAACGTCATACCGAGTTCAGTCCAAGATATTCGAATTTCGTAACGATTACTAGAACCTTCAGACTAATGAGCGAGAGACTAACTTTATATTACAGCGTTATCAATGAAATTTCTCATATAACACGATAATTTAAGCATCACAATTATAGTCTACTGCTTAAATATTCATCAGTTGGAATTAAGACAGAATACACAATTGTGCTTTCCCCACGGCAATCACCATCCTTGTATAAATATTCAGTGAAAATACATAATTAAATTCAACTAAGATATATCATTTTCGCTTTCCATGTTTTGATATATTACCTTTTTTGTATTTTCTCAGTGTTACCTCTGTATAGTGACTGTGAGTTTCAAAAACATTAGAGGACTTCTGAGTGATATGCATGATGAGTAGAGAGAGAGTGGTTTAGTGATAATAAAGAAAGTTGTGGGTTGTCCTAGCTTTGGAGTATTGTTAAAAGTTTCATGCCTCCTCAGTGAAATGTCTGATTCACTTAAATTTGGCTGTTAATTTTAATAGATTATCTTCGTAAAACTATATCGACAATCTATTGTTTTTTTATTAATTTCTCAAAAGTTTTACAAAAATATGATGTCTGATCTCCTGTTGACCTATCTAGTTTCAGTATAAACAGTTATCCTATTCATTTGTATAAATCATCTTTTTTTATGCGTTAAACCATTCAGATCACCTGACTGCTTGATCATATGTAAATTAAATAGAATTAAGATGTCTTCATTAAGTTTAGTGACTCAGTTGATTTGAACAACCGAATAAAACAGTTTGAAAGAAAGTAATAAATATTCGACACAGAGAACATAGTCGTTTCTATCCAGTATATATGCAGTTATTTAGTTTTTAATCTTTAGTTGAACAGTTAAAACATAGTTTTTCCTCATAAAAATTTGAATTAAACAAGTCAGGTTAATCCTTGTATGTCGTATCGATACACCGCCATATGTCCTTGATTTTTACTGTTGCCACTACTACTGCTACAACTATTAAGAAGTTCATTGTTAGTACCGGTGCCATTGTGACAACTACTACTTTTACTATTACTAATACTATTGCTACTACTACTACTACTACTACTACTACTACTACTACTACTACTACTACTACTATCAGCAATGCTACTATCATAGAGTTGATTTCTCGACTCGCCTATGCCAGTCGTTTTAACGCACAACTCCATAAAACAATAAGACAATTGAAAAAATAAAATGATTTGTTTACTAAAACAATTCTATTCTCTGTTGCTTTACATCTTGAAGATGAATATTAATTATGTATGCAGAAAAGTTATATCAAGAAGATTAATGAAGTGTTTTTTTTGAAAGAAATTTAATCTTCTTAACAAAATTAACCAGAAATAAACAGTCGAAAGGTCACTTGTTCTGCGATTAACAAATGTTCAAATCTCATGTACTCAATGAATTTTGAGTGAAACGATCATCTTTACTAGAAGATGCCTGAAAATTTGGCTGTTTCAATGAGAATTTTCACCAAGGAAACCATCAGAAAAACAAGAAGCACTTCATATCTAGTTTAGAATGGTTTAGAAATCCTCAACTTTGTGCATTTATGATTGTATTTGCTATAGAGCCTGACATATGAAAGTTACATAGTAAGTTGTGAACCTCTGAGTTGGAATCCTATAAGTTACATTTTAAAATTCGGTCAATTGATGGTCGTTTTATGACATAATGAATATATTGTGATTATGAAAGTCATCGATTATGCATTGATAATAGCTGACGTTAGATAACATATGTTAATATCAAGTATTTTTAAAATAATAATTTCAAACATGTAGGTATTGACATGTAGACAACATTGAATAGGTTCTTCAACTGACCTTATATAGGAATTAAAACAATCTACGCAAACTTGCTAATAAAACTATATATATATATATATATTCTAACGACGATTAAAATATAGACAGATTATACTTTTAATGAAACTACAAATACAATAACTTACTAATAATTTTTCCCTTAAATTGATTACATTGCCCATATCGCCTTGAACTGGTACAAGAATTTCACGAAACGCAGCATCTCTATGTGATAACCAATCGTTTAATTTCTTTAATTTAGTTAAATATAAATGTGACTGATTGGAATGTAGTTGCATTGTTCGTCTATGTGGAATAGATTGAGAAGAAATAAACGGAAAAATTATTAACGTTTTTGTTGTAATCATTATTATTAGCGATGAAGAAATCTAGTGAATCATTTATTGTTTAGAGCATAATTACCTATGAATTGTTTCAAGATGAATTTTTTTTAAAAAACGAGTGAGGAGCTGAATAACCAGAGCCGATGATGTTCGAGTTACCGCAGTAGATCATTGATTAGATGACTGAGTTATGTAAACTTGAACAATTGAATCATTAGGCTTAACTTCATGACTTCAAAATCTCATGCATTTACAGGCACCTAAATGTAGAGTCTCGTGTATAAGATCGTTTATGCACAGTGTTAAGAAGACTATAACTATGACGTAATATCTGCCAAGTTTTTTTTCAAAGTTCTACAACTGATACAAATGAATGCTGTAAATGACTGAAAAATCTTTTCTATCTGTTATAGTTATTGATAGACTTACTACTTCATCTCTGCTCTGGCTTAACTATGCATTATAAACTAATTTATTCTCATCCCAATAGCTAATTTAGCGAATTTTACATTAAGAACAATAATTTTTTTATAGCTATTGCTCATACATTTTAAGCTTTACAAAAATGATTTGCAACAACATTTAGATACTGATTGAATAATTAGACTGATGAGATGTTCATAAGATGAAAATAACTTGTCAAGGAATTGATAGGTTTCTTAGCAAATTAATAAAATAACATAATGAACTTGATGTCTAACATAATTGTTTATCAATGCATCAATATGTTTATATGACAGGGAAGTAAAGGTTTCTTCATAAATATCAGTGTCAATGATTATCAATAATAAAAATATCTTTCCTACTTCGACAAATGATTGAAATCATTGTACTAGATGTACAGTAGTTTGGATGTGATGATAAGTTAATGTAATCAGGTTGCGAAAAATAATATAATTTTTATCCTAGACTAGAGCAATACAATGAACATTCTAGAGCTGTTTCACAGCAGTTTAAAAGTCCTAAACAGTGTATAAAACAGAATCCGTTTTAAAACGATGATAGTAATAACATTAAATTTAAAAAAAGCAGACAGACAGACAGATACAACGCAGAACTTCGTACGTAAGTACATCAGTTCAGGTTGCCATGCTCCAATAGCACAGAGACGCAACTGTCAGTTCAAATCCAAGAGTGATATAGCAATAATAGAAGTATTAGCAGTAATGGAGAAGATTAGGGAGCAAAGATTTGATTCAAGAAGTATAATTCACTAAGGTAATTTTAGAAGTAGAAAGGTAGAGATTATGAGGGATGCAGAAGCTTAGAATTTTATAGAACACAAAGAGTGGATGCACCTGCGATGAGACTAAAAGCAGCTACTCAAGGTCTGAGGGCGAAGTCGTACTGCTGACTGCAGAGAGGTGTGACAGCAGTAAGGTGTTTTCCTCGGACAACCAGCATCCGCAGCAATGCTGCCTTCTCACAAAGAAGGAAGGTATAGAAAAGATCGACTCTAAAAATGTCACACCTCACCCTACCTCAGGGATTTCCGTCTCCGTTGGTAAGGATGCCCACTAAGGGCTTTCAAGAGCGGAGGTGATACTCAAAAAACCCTTCACAAAAAGGCAGTGCGTAACCGGCCTCAAGCAGTTGTCCCTTGGTGTCTGCGGTCGCGCACCCAGGTCTCCTAGACCAACACTAATCTATCTCCCTTTTCAGGTCCCTCAAAAAAAAACCTTCCACGGTGTGGGCAGCCGGGAAGTGACAGCCTCCCTCATACCAGTACCAGCACACGACACCAAATTAGTCAAATTCAAATCCTTCCTACACCACCTAACATCTCTCTTATCTCAACGATGAACTCTACTCACATTCCTGTATCACACTGCACAGCTAATGCAAACAATGAAAGTTCACGAAACTTCATTTCTGGTCTCCTGAAACCCCGTTCTAGACTACATGTTGGAGCATTTAATGTACGTACATTATGTCATTTAGGGCAGCAGGCTTCCTCAGCTAATACATTAGAATCTCGCTCAATCGATGAATGCTGAGTCTTGGAAACGCGCATACAGGATCCTAGAAAAGTCATTAATCTGATTTTGCCTTGTCAAAACAAAGAAGCAGCTCGATTTACCCTTCGTGTATCCGGTAGCTCTGATGCTGCTTCCCGGGGTGTCGCTGGTGTAGGTATAGCATTGAGTCGTAGGGCAGAATTATCTCTCCTAGACTGGATCCCTGTAGATAGTCGTTTGTGCGCCGTCCGACTGAACGGGACAGTAAGGACTCGGAAAGATAGGGACACCCGTCGTTGCCTCTTCATCGTATCTGCCTGAAAAATAGCTGATACTATCCACCGTTAGGTTTCGATACAGTAATCTCAAAGCATATTGTTCGCCATATGACTTGAAATTTGTAGGCTTTATCTTGTACGCCATCAACAGTATGCACTGCTGATGAGCTTGGGACCGAAATAAAATGTCGTTCGATATGCCCTGATGCTTGATATGTTTCTAGTTTATATTAGTCTCTGAACATAAAACAACTTCAAACAGAACTTAGAAAGTTTCGAAATATATATAACTAAGTTTCCAAAAGGCAAAAAACTATGAAGCAGGATTTGACATTGCACGAATTTAAGAAATCTGTATTTTCTCAGCAATAAAATATGTATCGAAAAATAATTGAAAGATAGTTTTCGATGTTGATTTATATTTTTGTCATTCATATTTTTAATAAAACGTTTTGTGTTTGTCTGTGTGAATGTTCGTGGCTATTTCAAAGTATATAGTTGATTATTAACAGTTTCATTTCGCTATCTTATTAAAATTTCAAAGATGTCGCTTATACAAAAAAAGAAAGAAACTCATTGATTTAATAGAAAAAAAGGATGATATTTCAGCGAAGATGATTTCTTTCAACGATATCAGATTTTGAAGCAGTACAATCGTATTTATGGATAATTTTATACAATGAAATGAAAATGAAATATCGTCAAGATTATTAAAAAGTTTCAAGCAATGAAAATACAATTTGTACAATTCCAAGGGGTAACTTATTTGCTCGCAGATATCCAGTTAGATAATGATTAATTTCTATAGCCTCAGTTGTGCACTAATTCCTCATCCAAACGCGTTTTTAAGCTTGAAATGTCTACTTTGTAGAGGGTTTCGAACAATAATGCACTTAGTGGGATGTGACCTGAGTTAGCCATTCGTTTGAAGATTGAACCGTTAATTGATTTACATTCCCCTTTAGACTAACAAGCGCCCGATTTTTATAACCAATAAAATTACTCCAAAAGAGTCAGTTAATCGAAAAATACACTTTGAGGTGACCCAAAGAGACAGTTTGTCCTTAAGAAAAAAGACCATGAATCGGTTGGATTAAACGTCTTTCTTAGTGATCTGGATAGTTTGTTCTCTAATATTCCAGCTGCCGTATCTCCCTTGAAATGTTCACGAACAAAACGTTCTTCGGAACTGTGGTAGTATTTTAAAATTGACGTTTTGGTTTTAGAACACAATCAATCAGTTTAGATGTGAATCTACACTTCATTAGTACTCGTCGGATTATATCGTCAAGTGTATCTTCACTGCATATTTGTTTTGCACTTCAAGATAAAGTATGAATAAAATTTTTCTTTCCACTCTAAAAAATCCTATACTGCCCATTCCAGATTAGATTTTCATGCATTGATCCTTTTAAAGACCCAAACGATCTTCGTTTTAGAAGAATTCAACTCAACTTCTCTTTTGGAAGTATACAATTGGTTATACTTTTATTTAGGTCAGTCTTCATCACCGGTGAAAAGTCAGATGAAAATAATCCAGACATGCGGTAAGCGAAGCAAGCATTCTACATGCTCAATCATGGTTATAAGCGAATAATTGACAAGGTTGAAAGACGTGTGAATAATAGATTGAGAAGATCGACCACTAAAGCTGTCCAGAGGACGGTACTAGCCACGTGAGCTTGACCTGTTGGTACATAATTATAAGATAGCTCATAGTCTGACAACAAACATTCGTTAGTACATCATGTGTGCAGACACAGAACATCAATGAGTACCAAGTAGCTATTGCGCTTTAGTTTGATATAGTCCATGGCTATGGAATTATGACAAGGAAATTGACTGGATCTAAGATTTAAACTGCCACTTGGCACATATAACTTTGGTCATTTGTGCGGAAACAAAACAATATTGATGATGGTTATTTGGTGTGCTTTTTCATTGAAAACAATTCAAAGAACAATTTGATTTCGACGAAAATGTTTATTTGTATATGATTTAAATAGCTGAAATTCGATAAGTAACACAAAATTTTGACTGAGGTATATAAAATAGACGTCATGCATACGAGAGGTATGACCAGACAACTTGTGTTTTATTGGAGTTATCTTTAAAGCAACTAAGTGCTCAAACTTTTGGTTGACTAGATGTTAATTATAACACATTGGCAATCCTTCAACTTTAATAACTTTTTGAGATATAGGTAAAAAATTGCTATCCATTTGACAATTCATAATAATTATCACCAGAAAACCTTCCGAATGAGATTTGTAAACAGTAGTGTCGAACTATTATGGAAGTTCTGTTTAAAATCCTAATGAATGCTAGATTACTTTCTGGCTGTTCTATGAGAAAATTTATGCCATGATAATTGAATGTTACTGTATTGAAAATGAAGAGATTCAAAGTCTCATGGTGTGGTCTTGAACAAGAAAAAATATCGGTCACATTCATTGTGACTACAACTAGTTCTTTATCTGTTGCTTCATGATCATGAAAAACATCAAACAGTTTTATAAAATTGGAAAATATTATTTATCTTTATAAAAAAATCTTACCGTAGATTAGCAATTTTATCTCTTAATTGACGTAGACGTTTGAAAAATTCTTGATTTGGCAGAACATTTAATGCTTGTGCTGAAGATTTTGAATTACTGGCAATCTGAGTAGCTATTATGTTAATTTCTGTTTGTAATGTCTTGAAAAAAAAGCAAAGTAAAAAATCAATAAAAGATAACAGGAAAATGTGAAATCGAAAGAACATTTTCATTAAGTGTAATGGAATAGAATATGTAATTTAGTATGTGTAATTAGCTCACTGAATTCGACTTATCTGAATCCCCTTCGATAGAATGTGTCATCTTGATCTACACGCATTTTATGATGTTCTGATCATGCCTAGAATGTAACTCAACGCTTCTGAATTATGTTTGATTGAACATAACCACTTGTTTAGGGAAACATACACCTTGTCAGATCCAAACGGGATGATTACGAATCCTTGTTATTACTGTGAACAAAAAACCATTTAATACAATAAATTACTCCAAGATGAGCGCTCATCGCCTGTTATAAATATCTTACATTTTTTTAATTCAAAGACGTAAAACTAGTTGGCTTCAAATGATCTATGTCACAATGCAGGTCAGGTTACATAATAAAGGCTTCCAAATCAGATAATGTTTCACTACACGTTGTTCACTGTTAATCACTGAGTATTTACAGTTTTATGAAATACAGGTTCATCTGGTATTTCAGTAAAACTGAAAAATTGTTTCTAGAATCAACATCCATGAATTTTATTTCGCTTTTTGGTCAAATGTCTTCTTCAATATGAAATGACGTGCACTAGGTTTAAATCTTAATTTATTTGAATTCATTCATTCATTGACAATCACGTACTAATCTTCATCAGTGAAATAATACTGATTAGATTTTTAAAACGCATTCACCAAAATGTTTTGTTTAGTAAACAGTCGTTGATGAAGAAAACTCTGAATAGGCATAGAAAGATTTCGTAATTATTTAAGTATTTAAGTAAGCTAGAAGATAGTGATTTTCAACAGCATGATATATTCAAATAGTGAAAGATTTCAGTAACCTAAAGAACACAATTTCATCTGTACTTAAGTAGCTTTACTCTTAGCGGCTGATATTGCATTTTTGGTTAAAATTGTACATTGTATAGCCCAACATCAACCGAATCAATATGATACGATTAATTTGTTGGGCATTCGCTAAATAATACACGAATCGAGCACCCTTACATAACCTGGATTCCGTCTACAGAGTTAGTGCGTGCAGTATACACTCAAGCATGTAACAAACTAGACAGTATGCATGAAGCGTACATCTAAGAGCGTTTCATGATTTCATATAGCATAATACTTCATTCTTTGAATATGATCGTAGGAAGTTTGGTCATTAGCAATGATGCTTACTTGAAACTGCGAAAAGAGCATCATACCATAAGATGAATTTCACTAAAATTAAGAACTTTTGGTCTGAGAATTTTCAGCAGCAACCAACATATGGTTGAAAATGGACAATATTGAAAAGTTTTAATCCCCAACAAAATAGATATCTGATATTGAATTTTTTTCTCACTTCACATATACTATAATTTTGTAAAATTTAATTGCGAGTTCTTCCGAAATTATACATATCAATGACAAATGAAAATATTGTCTCTTACATGGTTGATACATTAGTTGGCTATCTCATGATTTATGCTTGAGAGTTGAGTGTACATTCCATTTAACAGGACAAAAATTAACATATTTAGATTTTTAAAAACGGTTGAAACTTAGTAAAAATTGGCTGAAGCTAGTTATCATGAGATAAAATCTTTCAAAAATGAGAAAGCATTAGACATCCACAACTCAATATTAAAATTTCAAGGAAAATATCTAGACCTTTTAGTCAACATGATTGCCCATAGCCTTTTCTCATTAGTACGAACATCATGATCAAACAACCCACTACTACTCACTAGTTTTTTTAAATTATTTAATTACCTTCTAAACGATATGAGTATGTGAGACATGAAATATGACATTTGACTGAACAATACATACAATTCTCCTTATAAAAATAATAACTAATAAAACGTTTACATCCATTTGATCATAAAAATGTAATCAGTAATTTAACATCTATCACTTTAAAATAAAAAGAAGTACATTAGATATGAATTAACCAAAGATAGTAGTGATGTTGATGGTGATGACAAGGGTGTGTTGAATAAACTGGTTCCTAATTAAAAATGAAAATACGAGAATAATTTATGTCTGTTCTGAATTTATTTATTGATCTCTAAATGTACTTTCTATTAAAAAATGTCAGAGTAATTCACATTGAATATCTGGAATAATTAGTGGATGTTATATTATTAGACCAACAAATTAACGTGAAATAATTCATAATTCTTTCATGGGCTAGTTAAAAATTTCATGAAAAAAATTTGATAAGATCAGGAAAAGTTGAAGTATAAAAAGGTAACTGATTTTTAACATGCATTAATGAGTTTTAACAATTTATTGTGCCGGACAAATAGAAACACTTTACACTGACTGAATAAATTACACTAAAAATCACTTGCTATTGGAGAGTATTCTATATCCGTCGCTTGGAATAGTGTGGCAGTGCAGATCTGGAATGTTACATAACATCAGCCTACGGTCCTTTTTTGAAACATCAACTTGAAATAAAATGTTTCAAATGACCTTATCTGGTCGATTGTGGAAATGTTACAACTATTACTTGAATGAATACTCGTCAAAATTTGAACGAACAATCCGTCAAAAATCGAAATTTTAATATTTATGTTTCTCAGAAGAATCTCTAATCAGGTCGACTGGCTAAACATCCGATTTATCTAGACTTCAATCACTGAGAGTACTTTTAATTTAATTTTTACATTCAATATCGTCACGTAACCTATTAATAAATATTTGATCGAAATTAGAGAACTTGCTTCGTTTAAAACTTTGTAAAGAAATCAATGAGCACTTTTTAAAATCATGTTTTGAATTATTTTCTAGTGTTGTTAACAATAGTTTTTACTTATAAAACTGACAAACAGATAATAGATAACATATTTTAATGTAGAAGATTTGGAAAAGATCACATTGAACTTCCTTGCTATCCGATACAGGAAGAGGGTTTGTTTAGAGATGATATCCGATTAATCATACAATAGATTTTTAATAAATGAGCTGCTTTTAGCTTCTTATAGCATCTTACCTAATATAAAATATTGCCATTCCAGTATCGAACTGTGTACAAAGTATATTTATTTAATGTACACAACTGATTGAATGATATGCTACTAAAAATAATGAAACAACACAACTAACCAAAATCAATACTTACTTGTGATTCTGTAACTAGATGTGCTCGTTTTTCATTCAACAAGTGAATATCCATATTTGAACCGTTTTGATTTAATTCTGCTTCAAGTTTAGAAATTTGATTAAATTTATTTTCAATAATTTCTAATTGTTCATTTAATGTCGGTTTACGTATTCCATCGGAACTTGATGTTCTTCGATCTTTCAATTTATTTTGTTGTACTTTAAAATGATCATATATTGGTGTTATTGGTTCTTGACGATATAAATCTTTCAATTTATTGATTCTATCGGAAAAATATGCAAGAAATAATTGGCTAAGAGAGTTGTGTAGAGAATTTTGCGTATTGACAATTTTTACAAGTAATAAGGATTTGCTTTTTTATACTGTTACTTTGGGATTCAACTATTATTACCTAAAGATAGTCAACATGAGATTGAATATTATCGTACCAATGTTTATTAAGCTTAGTATATTTCACTGTATACAGTAATGACGATTAGGTCATCATGCTGCTTAGCCTAATACAGATTTAATCAAGTGAGATGAATGCATGACTACAGATAAATTGTGCGTTTTACAGTATTTTAAAATGTATTTCAATGTTAGCGGAAAATTGTTTCGCAATACAGTTGGATGATTGATCAGTCATATATTGTAGATTTCTAAATTTTGTACTAACTGTCTACCATGTTCCTATTCTATGAGTGGCATTATTGTAGAAAATATTATCAGATGATTAGAGTTGTATCTTTGATTGCACAGTCTTTAACTAGACAAACGCAACAGATGGAATCCTATATTTTTCAAAGAATTATTGCATTTAAAATACATATCACATTCAGATCATCAATTTTTGTAAGCAAATGATATTGAATATTGGGCAGATGTGGTCAGAATTAAAATACTAATTAAATGCAATTCAAGGATCTATAAACTTAGAAAACCACTTAGTGATCAATGTGACTGGACTGGTTTACCATAAAACTACTCAAAATTACTGATAGGTAATAATATATGCATGTTTATTATGATATTATGCTTAACTGATGGCAATACTGAAACGGATTTCTCAAAATTCCAAGAAAAAATCCTCACTTAATGAGGTCGAATTAATGAGGAAAAATTTCACTGACAAGGTTAAATGTGAGTGACAGTGTATACCAGAAATTATTTTCGGTCGAAAATGTGAACAGTTAATACTAGTATTAAACTTTCTACAAAATCTAGATACTCCTGTATCAGGTCTTCCCCTAAATTTGTGAATACTCCTCACTAATGATTAAGGTAGCCCAACTTTATTACGTTACACACTTTTTAAAACTATAATATGTTATAGGTCAGTTCGTGAAAAAGTTTATCCTCACCCTACATAATTTAATATTTCCCGAACAAAAGCGAACCCGAATCAATGATCTATACGTTGAAGTTAGCCAGGGACTGCATAAAATCATAAACACTAGAGCATCGTATATATTGAACTAGCTATACAGGTTGACTACAACTTGGGAAATCTATTTTATGATAATTTTTTTCTAATTGAATTAAAAGATCGCTTCTTGTATGAATGTGCCTGCCTAAATATGAATATATAAATTGTTATAATGTCACTGATAATACTTATTTGGCTTTAAGCAATACTTATTCAATAGAGATAAGAAAAAAATGGACAAAAGTAATTTATTCTGTGTTGGCCAAAATAAAATACAGATAACACATATACCACTTTTTTGAAAGAAAAAAGAAACAGAAACCTAATTCAGTTTATATAGATTCACTAATTTTCCTGTTCACATTTAGTATGAATGCAACAAACGATGAATGAATGTATCATGAGAATAATATAAAGGCAATTATTTAAGCGAATATAATTCTTTTCTAGAATTGAATAAAAAGTACACATTTCGTTTTCTATTGGAAATCTGAATCTAGCAATGGTTGTTGGAATAAGAATAAGGCTAAATAGTCTTTTCTAACATAAACAGTCAAGCTTTTCAAATGGCATAATCACAACAGTTTTATAAAATAGTAATTCTGTTGGAGGAAAAGTACTTGGCAAACATTAAACAAGTCTTTTATATAAAACTAATCCAGTTGATGCATCACTGCTGCAAATTTTTCTCCTGATTAGTGAACTGCATTTAATTCACATTTATTGATTGTTAGTTGTTGTTGTTGTTGTTATTGACGAATACTTTTAATTTCAGTTGTCAATACGTTGCCGAAGATCAGTGAAATGAAAGTTCAAATTTATTCTTGTTTTCGTTTTCCAGACCATAAGATTTATTTTTTTTCATTGCATATTTATATTGCTTTAAGATGATTTCAAGGTTAAACGTAATCAGGATAACGACTAGAAGATGGCTTATGTACACTGGTCTAAGTCTGATCAGTGCGTCAGGAATCCATGAATAGTAATTTTAAAAAAATAGTATACAAATAGAGATAATGAGAAACATTCTTGCTACTTAAGATTTAGCCAAAAGACTATTTAAATTCAAGCTGGACGCATTTAATTACAAGACTTTTTATTAGACTCATGTGAACCTATATTAAAACTGGAGAAACAGGAAGAAATTCTAGCTAGCTCGAATAACTGTATTTATCGATCTCCCTACTTGTTCATCTGCTCATGGAAACTTAATAATTTCATAACATTTTTCACTGTGAAATCACTTACGAAATTTCTAATTCATTCCAACGTTTAATTGTTTGCTCCATATCAGCACGCATTCGGCTAGTATCTTCCGTATGGAATTGTTTCATAATTGCTTCACATTCTTTTTGATAAAAGGCAATCTTACTGCTTCTTTGTGGCAAACTATCAATCAGTTCCTGAAATAATGCAATAATATAAAGTGTAAAAATATGAATATAATATGAGGAGTGTAATAAAAGTAATAGTTTAATGATTTATTGCTTGAGTGTATCAGCTGGAAAATTCTTTAAACAATTCTAGAAAAATTCACCGGTTGACTGTCAGCTATTATGAGTAACCGGACAAATTGACTGGTGAAGCCTTGAAAAAATCTAATTCATCAACAGGATAATCTGTTTTGGATAGAAATAGTCATGATAAGGGAATATTTATCTTTTATATAATGAGATTATATTAAACAGTGTGAACAATCCAGCATATTCAACAAATCTTGCGGAAAGCGTTTAGATTTTGTATCCCTGAGCCAAAATCTAACAGTCTAAATATAGTGAACTTCAATCAACACAACTATACACCACTTCTTGGCTTTCAACAACTATCTAAGGTCAGTCAGTAATACAAACTATCAAAATCTGTACTAATGTTTCTTTAGCCATATTATTCTTTTTTCTGCACGTATGTGCACGGATCATTTAAGAAATTTTTTTCCTTTGAATTTATAGATTGAATAAGATGAAAAGCAAAATAAATGTCTAAATGCGATGTAAAGCAGTGAAGCGTCACTCATCGATTCGTGACCTTGACTTTTTATGCCTCAGTGATCATTTCTTATCATCAAATGAGCAACTCAATAAGGCTGTATGTGACTAGCAATGTTGAATCTATTTACGTATATAGTCGGTTGGACAACAGTTCTGTCTTTTCAAATTTATTTGTTTGGAAGTTCAGTCACTAATTTAATAAGAAATGATCATTTTTGTCGACTCACTCTAATTCAGCATTCTATCTGCCAGTTATTCAGTCCCTGTGTGCCTAATTAAAATCCTAAACAAGACATGTGTGTTTTTCCTTCTTCAATTCCAACACTTAAAGATGTTTTTTAAAATGAACTTGTCTTGTTATACAAATAGTTTACTAGTTTCGAAAAACCAAAAATTAGATATTCACTGAATTAGCATTAAGCATGCTTTATTTTGAAAGTATGTTAAAAAATAAGCAGAGATGTTTTTTTGTTTCCTGAAACTGTAGCGTTTGTTATTTTCATAAGAAAACAAAGAAGAACATGAAAAAATGTATAGATTGGAAAGATAAAATCATTTTCATATTTTTAGTATCTCTCATTTCCTTGTTCTACTTAACTGAATAAATAATATTGATCATGAAGATACACTATGATTATATCAGAGAATAGTACTACTTTGATAAAACTCAGCTAGAAATTATAGGTTGGTGTGTTTGGCATTAATTAGCACTGTATATGTATCGAGTTTACTAGATAATCAAACACGGTCAACTTAAAGATGTTTCTTAATTTCTGATAAAGCCTTCGCAAAACTCGAATTTGCGTTACTTAGCTCAGCTGTCATGGAAGTTTTCGTTCAGTTATACTAGAACCATTTCTTTTTCGTATGTAATCTGGTCCCAGTGACAGTTATTGTTCGTCGAGTCATTAAGTGACGGCGGAGATATGAGCAGTAAATCCGAATTTACTCGACCAGAATCACTGATTTCAAAATTACAGACAGACAGTTCTGACTAAACCTAGGTGTATGATCCCTATCTATCTGTTCCCAATCATTTGATATCAGCTGCACTGGAATGCTGAGTCATTCAGGCTGGTGGATGATACTGCAATATCATTGATAGAATTTATTCATTATAAAGGAATAAATAACATGGTGCTAGTTATTACTCAGTGATTAAATGTGCTATCTAACTGACCAAAATTCTAAACATGTGACAAACAATAGCTACATAATCCATTACATCAGTTCCATAAACTACTTCCATAAAGAATAGATTGCATAGAATATGTAACTTTTTATAACGCAACATACCTGTAAGTGTTTGCGGCATACTTCGGGACTCATAACGAGGATTCTAGAAGTTGATAAACTTTGGTCATTTGATTGATTCTTCGATGCATCGATACTCTGTAAATCGGCTTCTGTTTTGCTAATTTCGCGTTCAACATCACGTTCTAATTCTTTTAAAGTTTGTATACTTGATAACATTTGATCCAACTTTTCTGAACGTTCAATCATTTGTTGCTCAACTGAATTCCATTGATTTTGTAACTGATCAACTACAGGGCCGAACAAAAATTGACAGACGTGAATGTAAATTATCGCAAACTCTATCACACAGAAATCGAGGTTTACTTTTAAAAGTTTAAGAATGCTTAAAATAACTTAACTGAGAAACATACACTAATCATACTCGTTAATAGTTTATTCAGTTGAGCTGCAACAGGAGACGTCATCTACCACACGGTTGGTTTTAAAAAGTTCCTTAACAATCACATATCTCTAGATTAAATAACTATTGTTTAATAACGAACTCATTGCAAAAACGTCGCTCTTGGAAAACTATTATCAATGATTCTCAATTAGCTAATCTAATTCTTCGTTATTTGAGTGACTGATTCGCTTAAATGATAGAAATATTTATTGAATAAATGTACAGTGTTTTGACTTTGCATCAACATTAATATAGACAATTTTCTATATAAAATTATTTTTTCAAACTATTAAATATTAACTATGTTATTTTATCATAACTAATTCGAATTTTACCCCAACTTAAGCTCAACACACTTAAAATCGAATTTTTTCCACAACATAAATTGATGATTCCGATAGAAAACCAGTACAAAACCGAAAGTATGTTGTACTTAAAAAATAAATATCTGTCTAAACCTCTGTGGCCTTCATGAATAATAGAAATGTCGATAAATTATTAGAATCTTTTCAACTTAAAACAATTTATCGACTTAGAACTGATGAAATCAAGTACCAATGAACCATTGTCAGACCATATAGTAATGATAGAGTAAAAATATATATAGTATTAAATACTGATTTAAATGGTTTCTTGTTTACTGAATAATAATATTCTATAAATTCAATAAATCTGAAGTAGGAAAACTTGAGTGTCTTAAAATAAATTAAATTATATTCAGATATTTTTATTTTCTCTGTCTTTATCTTGATTCTCTTTGTTTGATGTATTGTAGAATCGTGCATCAAGAGAACGTGAATCGATTCCTGACTATGTAAATATGGTTTGTTTACATCATAAATTATTTATATTCATTCGAATTCAGAGTTTTAGTTTTCATATATTTAACTTAAAATATGAAAACTAAATTATCAATAGAGGCATAAGATTACGTTAAATAACATTTAAAAAAGTTTTATTAACAAACTGAAATTATGTTATAACAATGTGTTTTTTTGGAAAGTAATAAATTTCCCAATGTATACCCGGAACTATGCTTAGTCAAGCAACCACTGAATACAACAGAAGCATTCGAAAGCGTTTTTTGTTTTCAGTGTGACACTGGTAGGTAACGCTCATCCACTAAACCGCCATTGAAGACTGAACGCAGAACCTTCGGTCTTGCAAGAGAACGCCTAGTTTCGGGGCCATATTAATCTAACATACTGTGTTGCAACGGCCTAACTTTATTCACTCAGTTAATTATTTAAACCATTTGTTTATGGACGTGAGTATTAATGAATTGTTAGTATGTTCAACTACCATGTATCGAATTTTTTTTAATGGGCACAAAAATCTATTGTAAAACTATTCATTATTTCAAGAAAAAAAAAGATCATCGAAATAATCTTGCAGCACTTAAACTATTTCGTAAAGATTAATCAAAAATATTCTTTGAATAAAACTTTATAACAATGTTTTATTATGTTTGAAAAAAATATGAATAGGTAAATTTTATTCTTTCAGATGTACATTTTATGTTACTAAAACAATCACTTGAGAATTCATTCATATTCATGCCTTAGTGTTTTCTTCTTAATCCAATAAAAAGAAAACGAGTAGAAATGACAAATCGATAAACAAATTGATGATGATGGTAATTTATGATGAAGAAGTAAGAAAAGAAACCGTTTATTGATTTACGAATGATAGCTTTCATATATGAAGTCAGTAAATAATGATAACAGCAAAAGTGAATAAAATTTCGCTAAAAACAGTTGTAACTATGAAACGTATAGAAGTTATTCAACACATCTCATATATATTTAAGGATGTCTTTCATTATGGACAACTTATAAAATTTGTTATGGAATAAATATAGAACAAGAACTAATGTAAGTATCAAAGATCAGCTGTGATAAATGACACTACTCACAGAAGTATATGGAAATAGATCTTTACACTGAAGCATTATACCTCAAATTTTATGCTACTCGGGTGACTTTAAACTGTCAGTACGAATACTGCTTGTTAAACATTGTGCTACTAAATCCCTAATAAACAAATAAGTGTTACCCAATGAACCCACCATACACTGAAATAGCATCCACGGACCTCCCAATCAATGTTGACCCGTTAACAATTGAAGAGATCATTAAGGTCATCAGACAAATCAAAAGCAGCAGGTCCAGACAACAGTCCAGCAAAGGCCATGAAAGCAAACGTGGCAGCAACTGCAAAACTATTCCACACTCTCTTCAAAAAGATTTGGGATGAAGAACAAGTACCAAAAGACTGGAAAGAATGATACCTCATCAAAATACCAAAGCATGACTGAGAGGATAGTTGCTCACTCTGAACCTATATCTTTCTCCTGGTGATCGACTGGATTATGAAGACGTCAGCTTCTTGGGAGAAGCACGGGATACCATGGAGAGTTAGGATGCAGCTGGATGATCTGGAATTCACAAATCATCAAGCTCTTGTATAGAACACGCAACAAAAAATGCAAGAGCAGGAGACTTGTGTATCAGCAGCAGTTCCCAACATACAAAAAGGAAAATGAAACATTCTCTGTTACAATACAACATGCGTCAACGAAATCACAATTGATGGAGATGTTTTGTAAGATGTAAAAGCCTTCTCACATCTGAGCAGTATCACGTCTACGCAAAATACTTCGCATCCGTTGGCCAGACACCATCAGCATCACCCCACTTTTGGAGAGAGCAAACCAGATTCCAGCGGAGGAAGAAATCAGGAGGAAGCGCTGGAAGTGGATAGAACACACACTTCAGAAGGTACCCAACTGCATCACAGGACAAGACCTCACTTAAAATCGTCAAAGAAAAAGAAAAACAGGAAGGCCAAGGAACATACTGCGCCAAGAATGGACAAAAATTGGACAGAACTGAAAAAGGAGGTTCGGGACAGAGTAGGTTGTTAAATGTTGGTCGACGGTCTTTTATCCGTTGGGGGAAACAGGTGTAAGTAAGTAAGTAAGTAAGTAAATGAGTGTTACTCAATTAAAGATCTAATGGCCATTTTTGAACTACTGTGAGTTTGTGAATCTGCGCTGTTGAAAAATCTCGGACAACGTCAGTATTTTATAAAGTTCACCAGATATTTCACTTGAGTTAAACTGATGACAGTAACAATATCCATGAAGCTATTTATTCGTCATGTCAAAGCATTACACACGTTATTGCCAATCATTATTTTATTGTAGGTTGACATACCAGAATTAGAAATTGCTTAGAATGTAAATATAAAATAAAAAAGTCTTGAGCTTTTAAAATCCGCATCCTACCAGAATATGATTAGTTTTACATGCATACACAACAAGAATGGAATATTTCAAAGTTTGTCTATGTATGTGTTTGTCTATAACACAATTATTATTCCATTTTCATTTTTTAACGAATATTTTCAAACTATCAAAAGATTTATGTTCACTTTCAAACAAAACAATCTGACAGTCAAGCTTTAACGATTCAGAAAATAGTTTCACAAGTACCAAATACTAAAAGTTACATATATTTAATAGTTATAATTTAAATTGAGGACTGTTCGATTGTCTATTTATATGTGTATACTTTTGGGAGAAGAACTAATTAACAATACTAGTTGTTGAATTACAGTCGATAAATTATGGTTAATCTACGTATTCATCTGTGTATAAACGATCATTTGTGAGATAGTACTGATGTTCAATAAACATTTTACAATATTTGATTACAATCACATTATAAGAGAATAAAGACATTGTTTTTAGATACTGTATCAATCGTCCATAAATTAAAAATATCATGATTCTCGTTAGTGATGAAATATAATATCTACCCTCTTACATATATATATATATATATATATATATATATATATATATATATATACATCTTAACTACTGATAAATGTGGACTGAACATTGATTGCAAACAATGTCAACAGAAAACTGACTTTATCCTAGTTTGTTTTTATCCTACAAATTTGTTTAACCAATCGTTAAATATAATTGAACTGAACTATCAAGATTTTGTAAAGGGCTAATTTATGGTCGAACTACAAATGACTCATTATTTTGACTATGACTATCAATTCACAACTTCGCCCAACTGCAAATACATATATTATCTATAAACATTTGAAAAATCTGTGAGATTGAGAATTTCTATAATAACTAGTATAGTTGTTAAATTCATGCACTTTTGTTATTTATAATTATATATTTTAAAAAATGAGACTATCTCTTATAGAATAGTTTTTAGAATTAACAATTTACTCAGAAAGTAATTGATTAATATAGTTATATATATATATATATATATAACTATAAATTTTGAAAATAAACCCTGTGTTGTTCTAAGGTACAGAATGATGCAAAACAAACAGACATTTAATTTAATATCTAATAACCTTTAAATTCAAGTTTCCTCAAAAAGAAACAAAAAAAACAACTTTAATTTATTTTTCTGGTATAATTTTCATTGTCAGTGTCGTTGGAATTTCTGAGTGTAAAAAATAATATATTAGGGCGTAGTCAAATGCATATTTTTTTATAAGTAGCTTTTGTATTTCTATCTATGACGCGTGAGATGGAAAAATGTTTGAAAGTAAAAATCAACAAAAGCGTTAAGATGAAACTTTCATTCAAAAATGAAAACATAACTGGATTAACATATAATTTGGAATATATTTAACGATCACCAATAATTTGTTTATAATAGTTTGAATTAAATTTTCTAGTGGAAGATTTGGTAAAATTTGAAATCCACTATGGCCTGAGTATGTTAATAACTCATGGTTGTTGTATGACTCAACTCATATCGCATAGAAAACTAATTAACTAACTGTAGATCATTGGAA